CGCGCATCGATTTCGTTTCTGTCACGTTGGGACTCGCGTGCCCCGGTTTTGCCTTAGGCTTCATTTCACAAGTCAGCTTGCTCAGTTTCTGTGACTTCCGCGACGACGCGCCACGACCAGCCACCTCGTTTGCCGTGGGACCGCCTGCTACTGACGACTGGACAGCGCGCATCGATTTCTTTCGCATCGTCAACCCTGGGACGGGTGGGTGGGAGCAAGCAGCCAGCTGGATGAGGAAGCACCACCCTGCTGGCGTACAGTTGCCAGACTCGACTGATGGGGCGAGACTTCCCCCCTCATGGTGTGCTCGACAATACGAGGGTCAGTCAAAGCGTCAAAGCGTCGAACAGAAAACAGCGACAACACCCGTTGATAGCGTGACACAATGCCTGGGGTTTTGCTAGGGATGTATACGACTACTGTAGCGAGCGAGCTACCACTGGGTACGTAGGTCCTACACGTAGTCTGGCCGGTGCAATCGGGACTCGGTAGTAAGGAGGAGGGGGAGGACGGAAAAGGTCTCGCGACCCGGTAGTTGGAGCTACAAGGGTGCGACTACCACTACGATGACTACTACCGTTGGAACGGCAAGCGACGCGCAACCGTTAGTCTATGTACGACCGCAGTCGCAGCTTGTCGTCCTTGCTCGACAAGTTCGGTCCTCCCCGTCCTGTCGTGCAAATCGTCTGCTCGTTCGACGTCTTCCGTCGTTCAATCACGACCACTTGTGTAGAGAGGCAAGCGTGACTGCATGTGTGTGAGTGAGTGTGATATTGTGAGCTGCCGTCCCGAGTGACAAGAGCAGCTTGCCAACAGTTTGTAACAAACAGTCCCGTCGGTGCCATTGTAACTCTGCACAGGGACGAAACAAAAGACTTGGCACGTCAAGTCGTGGCTGCCGCGCGCGACATCATCTCCAAGAGTTCAGGTCGATGCTGGAGCAGCTCGCGAGCCTCCGCAAAAGATACCTCAGCCAGATAGTCGAGTTGAACAAACGAGTCAGTCTAGCTGGATCCGACAGCCTCTTCACCGTCTGCCCAGCAGCTCTGTAGACGTACCCACTTTCGCAAGCGCGTGTTCTCGGCCCAGTCGTCAAAGATCTCGGTGACTTGTAGTTTAAAGCCGTAGAAGCGGCACGGCTTGCCTTGCTGGCTCACAAAGTCGAGCGTGCCTAGCGAGTTGTCAATGTGGCCTGCCACCTGCATCCAGTATGTAAATGAAGAAGAAACACACACACACGACTAGTCACACAGACGTACAGACAGACAGACAGACAGACAGACTCTCTCTCTCTCTATCTCTACTAAAGTCTAGTTGCAAAGCCTTGCTACCCCTGCTTCCTCGTTTGCTTCACGCAGAGCACTCTCAACGACCGACTCGTCCGTCTCCCATCCTCCTTTCGGCAAGATCCACTGCGTCGGGTGTTTCGAGCTCGAAATGAGCAGACACTCGTCCGTGTCCGTGCCAACGTGTCTCGCACGACGCGACACGACAGCGATACACACCAGCAAGCGGGTGTTCCCGTCGTATCGTTGCTGGTCGCGCCCGACGCGTGATTGTAGCAGGCGGTTCGAGTAGCGTTCCAGACCGTTTTCTGAATAGGAGCAAGCGTCTGCAAGGTCGTGACTGCTAGAAGGCGGTGCATCGATTGCGTCCACCAAAGGGCGATCGCTGGTGGTCGTGGAGTTGCGTGTCATGTCGTGTCAGAGAATGACAAGCGAGTCAGGATACGAACGGCAGGAGGCTGAGACTGGAGGCGGTTAGTTAACTGTAACCACGTCCTTGTCGACGACACATGTTTACAACCAGGTGCAGCTCTTTTATCTTTTCGAGTCGCAGTAGGAGTAAAGTGCATGGAGTCCAGTCAAGTCGCGCAAGTCCTTTTTGCGAAAAGCTGGACTTGCAATGAGACAGACGGAGTGGCGTCGCCGGACTTGGAATGGCTTGTTCATGAGAACTTTAGCGAGCGGCGGTGGCTGACCCAAGTTGACATGCAAAGTAAGGGATCACGTCTTCATGGAGATCCGAGCACTCTTTTGATGTGACTGAAGCTGAGGCTACGAGCAAGCTTTCATTTGCAGCTCTCGTGCGTAGGAAAGACGATTCGCTACATTGACAGGTGCAGGCCATCGATACCAGGTTTGTAGTCGTGGTGGGCTGAAGGAAGCGTGAAGCGCTGCGCGATACGTTGCTATCATCGTCAACTTCTTGCATCCGACCTTTCAGCCCTCAACAATCATCGTTACTAGCCTCCTTACTCCTACAAGCGACGCCATGTAGCAACTACTCGCTCGAATTGATCAAATACCGACATCTCGAGCCCGTTTCAGCTGCAGATGTTCCTTGCAACTGGCTCCGAGTGCAGCGTCGCAGCACCAAGGAAGTCTTCCGTGGGATTCGGTGGTGAGTTTAATTTGTTTCGGCGACTTGAGACATTACTCCAGACGGTTTTCAGGCATTAGCACTCGAGTAATCGTCACAGGACGCTCCTTCCTACGTCACGTCATACGAGCGCTGCCCAAAACTTGGGGAGCCGCTGCTGCTGCTGCTGGTGGGCGGCACCAGAAACTCTACCGACAAAAAGTCAGATCGGTCTTGATCTCCTCCGTCACCGGAACTTCCACAGTCCTCGAACAACTTCTATCCGATCTGCTCAACGCGTCCACATGTTCAGACGTACCTGAACAGATCGCTACGGCGTTCAACTTCGTCGTCTACTGCAGCAGAGGTGTCAATTACCGCTGCAAATGATCGGATCACCCTGTTCGCTCGGCTTCTTCTTCCTTTTGCTTTCTTTCGCTTCGACTACGTCTTCTTCTTCTTCCTCCTCTTTCTCAGTATTCAAGTCCTTCGCAGCTTGCAGTTACTACTTTCCGTACTTCCACATGGAAGGTCTAGGGTATTACAACTGAGTGTTGCGAAGCGCTAAGTGCATGCATGTCCCATCAGGAAAGGTGAGTGATTTCTACGCCTGGGCATTGACATAGAAGTCGTGTATCTGCCTGAGAGGATTCACCTGGTCCTGTGTCCTTTGGGACCGTCAGCGACGACCAACGACCCGAGTGACAGCCAGCACTTTCGTGTGACATGCGAAGTAATCGTCTAGACTCGAGCTCTGAGCTGGTCCATGGAGTGCACCCCGTCGCTCCTCTGGCTGTGGAAACATGTTGACGAGTTGTGGCTCTTGCTATGATGCAAGCAGGACAATGCTGCAGGCACAGCAGCTTCCTCTGCTGGACGTAGCCGGATTGTGTCAAGTTGAATGTCCGAGCACATCGCCGCGAATTCCGTACAAACAACAATGCGAAATTTTCTAGATCGGCAATGTACATACAACAGTACGAAGTCGTCCGTTGAAACGTGAACGACGAGCGTCATGTGAAGCCACGTAATGCCACCGAAACCGCCTTCGAGTTGTCGCTCGTAATCACACATCCTACACGACTTGAGTACGCTGCCATTGAGTTCAAGTCATCATCAGTCGCGTGGCTGGCCAGGTGTGATTGAGCCCTTTGTAGGAGCGATCTCAAGTAGGCTTTTTGGGGCAAATTGGTCTGAACGACAGCATCGATACTGAGACTAAGCCGTGCTGTTTTCTCGTCACGGATGCGTGATGGATGTACTGGTGGGAGTGCATCACAATAGCTTTTGTCCTTTTGAAGGAAGACTGGTGCCTCTTGCTTATCGCTGTACCCCATGATCAAGCCTTGTTTTGGCGTAAGCATGTGAGGTTGAGATCAAGTGGAAACACATCGCCCGATGCTACATTCCTGTATTCTGCATCGTTGCGTATCGACGCCAAACATTCGAAGTGCTGCGTGAAGCACCACCTGTATCAGGTACGGCATCGGTCAAAATCGAGACGTGAGTAGTTGTGTACGACTTACATGGAGAAACAAAGCGAATGGAAGTACATCCTGCTTCACTATTGAGGAATCAGCGATCGGTCATGAAAGAAGCAAGCAACAACGCCTTGCTCCATCCCGATCCGGTACCTTTTTGTATCTGTTCAGGTGCAATTCGAGATCCGTTCGTAATGACAAGTTGCGCTGATCTTCCGACCGTTAGTCCAACGACACCAACAAGTATCTCAGCACTAGATTAGTTGCCGCACAGCCTTGTACCGAAAAGTTTAGATGAGAAAGGGGATGTAGATTCAGCATGACGCCTTGGCGTACCAACTATCTCTTCCACATTTCGACTTGGTAGTCCGTCGCTCGTGCGATACAGTCCCTCTAAACCGCTACCAAGTCCACAATGGTTGATAGTGAGCCAACTGTTGACACAAGATTTAGTACCCTGTTTCCATCGGTGCATTGCCGTTAACAGAAACCCATCGAAACCTGGCTGAGGATCTGGAATTCCTTTTCCCCCATTATCTTTGCTTTCCAATCGGCTAGTCGCTACTCCGGCTGGACCTCTCCGGGTTGTACATCATATCCCTAAGACCGGGACGTAAAAAAGGTCCCTTGTCAACCCCACATGTTCGTTTTGTGTGCAGCTTACCACCACGATGCAACAGCAGACAATGCGTACTCGAGTGGCTTTACGCCAAGAAACGAACGCGTAACACAGGACACGTGACTAGATCTGTTGCGTCACATACGACGCGGTCAGATTCTGCTTCTGGAGGCGTGCATAATCAACTCTGCTGCTGTTCCAATAGTGATCGCAACAGCAAGACCCCAGCTGTCCCTGATCTCGTGTAAAGGTTTCAACCATGAGATCCGACACCCGAGTCCCATCAGGTCATTTCGAGCTTCACGCTCCAGATGGTCCGTTATAATCGTGTGAGCCAACGACGGACTTGCACGTCAACATTTACGCATTCTTGAGCCCAAGATTCCGGTCCACTTGGTTCGTGGGTGTCGAGCATCTCTTCATTTCTAGGTGGAACTCGGACCATCTCGCTACATATGTGCTCGAACATTGCTCGTTTGACCTGCCCTACGTGTTGGTGCTTCCTACTCACGTTCTGATACTTGCTGCGCAAGAACGTCTGTCAAGGCTAATGCCACGCACGCGCAGCGCTTCGACTGCACACGTTGTGACTCGGGCACACGTCTCTACATTCGTCGCAATCGCGCACTGCTGTAACATCCTTCACGCTAAGACTGAGCCGACGATTGGGCTGAACGCAGCGTGAGAAGACTTCTAGACTTGCTGTGATCATTCTCATCGATCGCTGTTGCACCGGCGCTTGAATGAGATAAACCCGTCACGGCGTCAACGACTACTGTTCACTTGCCGATACAATGTCGTTGTCAGTAGCAATGCACATGTGCGCAGGAGTGAGACACCGGCCCTCGGAATGCATCCATTAGCACAACGCTTTGACCTAAGCAAAGATGTGACTGCCGCTCGTACACAACGTGCTGTGTGCGTGGACCCTTTCCATCTCCTGTTTACCTTAGCAGGAAAGACCTGCCATCGAGATTAAGCTTGTCAGCAGCCGCCGTTCGTGTAAAAGGGCGACCGACCACATGCACATAAGTGACAACACAAGTGCCGCAACGGCGCCACCGTTACGCGAACGGCTGAAACGATATACGAGGCGTTTCAGCACAATGCGCGATTTTCTTATGACAATGACAATGAGAATGAGAAGAGCGAGTCTTTGAGGTGCAGTTTACCAATGCACACTCTTTCGCGTTCTCATGTCCGTCACATGGTAAGGAGAGCAACCCTGTCGACTGCAGCTTGCTTACGGCATTTACACACTCAAGCGCTGTCTTCTGAGCTGACACCACTTACCAGTAAGGTCCTGGTTGGGTGCTGTTTCGTACAGGAGGCTGATCCTTGTTTGGCGTGAATTGTGAGTGGTAGCGCATCTCCATCACCTCACCTCATTCGTATCCGATTCCGGTCGCGTCGCTAGGGTCGAAGTAAACACGGGAAACTAAGCTATCTCGAGACCAAGCTGCCTGTTTTGCATGACGTCTACCGACTCATCTTAGCTTGCTCGTCGAGTCTGGTGAAAGCCTTTCGGCTGGCTGTCAAAGCGATTGTTGAATGCAGAATCGTTTCGACCGACATCCGGTGCATCTGGACAAGACCTCCACTGACGCTCCTCGTGTCAAGCACTTTTCCTATCATGGCGCTCATGACGATGGTAGAGGGTAGTTGCATTGTGCAGCCGCAATGCCGTTCATGTTAATGCAGTGCGAGTCTGGTGAACCTCTAGTGGTAGCCAGGTACTTTGCTCGGCGTAAAGCCTGTCGTACTGCACGTAGGCTCGAGTCTGCTCTGACTGCACTGTTGATGGAGTACTCATTCGCTTTATACCGACGGTAGGCAGTCTCGTAAGGCTCAAAAGTGTACACCTTTCCAATACAACCCTTCTCCTCTTATCAAAAGAAGTATTGAGTGCGTGGGTCTTCGTCCGAAGAGAAGTCGATTGTTCCAGCTCCCTGGGTTGCTGCATGTAGTCGTCGACGAATTATCTTCTCGTCTACCCAAAATTTGATCTTATTCGACTGTCATCCCGGTTTTTTGTGGCTTTTAAAGTGAATTATAGAGCACAGGATCGGGATGAATACAGCTGACAAGATGAGATGGAGAAGTACTGATTTAGGGAAAGAGGGCGTGATGGTTGTGGTCGAGAGCATTTGATTCTGTCTATTTAATTTACGACGGTTACGTTTCCACTCAGGCCGATCACGCAGCACTTTATTGTGTCCGACTCAAGAGACCCCTCATCGTTCCGTCCAAATGACGACTGGGCATATCACTGACAGGTCATAGCGAATGCTGTGATTATTTATCATATCGGAGCATGATAATATCCAGCTGACAAAGTTGTGGATATTTTGGAAGATGTTTATCCGTGGTGAAAAAACACTTTTTAGGTTCTGCTCAGGCCTCACAATTAGGCATGTTACAGCCAGCGTCACTATTTTGTTCACGCCGAGGGTACAGAGAGGAAAGAACGTACAGTCGATGCGAAGCGCATCAGTCAACCGTTCAAATGCTGTGTGCACATACGTACCCATTGTCCATCGAGCAGTGACTCGTGCAGTGGCAATCAGCTGCGTTGGAACCTCATCCTGACAATTCCTCTCTCACTTCATCCATCCTATCGGTCTACCAAGTAAAGCCTTAGACTTCGGTAGCTAGATCAAACTAGTCTGCGTCGCAAAGTAGGACGGTGATCTATCTCTGTCTGCTGCTGATGTCCGAAGATGGACATTGCGTCCTTAAAGGCTACGGCCTCGGCAGAGGTCCACCCAGGTCCAGTGTGTTCTAGATCACTCGCCGGGTGAAACCGGCTCGGCTTTGATCGCTGTGAACGTTTGCACAGGGAATTACGTTGCTGCTACATTGAGCTAAGCTCGTGAACGCACATCAGTTCGTACTGCCTATACACTGTTAAACCTCACCAAGCTCTCGTAATCGATGCCATGACCACGTCTCACTTGGAGTGCACAAGTCAAGGTCAGCGGACTGTAGCATGCAGTATGCTGACCAGATATGACCCCCTCATTCTCTCGTTCGCGATGTAGCCTATACCAGCTGCCAATTCCAGGCGGCACTTTTAATAGGAGCCGAGGGTAATCTCGAAGGAAGATGACACTAGGAGCATTGAAGCCGATTGATCAAAGCTCTAGTAATCGACAACGAATGTGCTTGCAGATCCTATCGCGATCAGTCAAATAGATAGACGAGAGCTAAACTCTAAGTCGAACCACTTTTTGTCGTGACGCAATCTTGTTTGGGTTCACACCACCATCAGCGGTAGCCTTCCTTCGTGGCACCTGTGCTGGCCATCGTTGCACATTTCATCGTTGTCAACGAGGCTGAATTCTTGCTTCAAGTAGATAGTCATCATGGCGATTGGTGACGTTGTCAAACTGCCTTGTCTGCTACTCTTGTGATGAGCAGACCTGAACAAGTGCAGGTTGCGAGCAAACACATGTCAGCATCGGATACAACTTCGATCGCGCGTCTGGCGTTCGAATCCTCAACTACGATCGAATGACTCATCCGAGCAACCTTCTTCTTATGATAGCACAGCAGCAGTCCAACAAGTCGCTCTTGTAGCTGTGTTACATGCCACCGTTTCCAGTCACATTCTCTATCGCCTCTTGCTGCACTTACGCAGAAGGTTCTCGGACGCTTCTGTACTTTCTACGTCGTCCGCCACGTCACGTCGCACTTCCGAGGCGAACGAGACGTGTCTGTTCGATTATAAGATGTCGCAGGTTCTTGCAAAAACGAGGCGCCGAGGGACCTCACGACGATCGATGAAGCGACACTTCTACCGTCGATCCCGCAATCTATATTCAACCAATCAGCGACGATTTCAAAACGACCGGGACACAAAGAGAGATCCGACCATTATTGTCCCATCTCCATCATCGCCACATAGCAAGCGAGCGAGCCAACCACGGTCCTTGCAATGGCCGTGCTGTCCAAGTCCGACGCAGCGTCTGGCGTCGTCTCGATCGCCTCTGTGGTGCGTTGTCTCTCTCTCTCTCTCTCAACTATCTTGTGTTTTGTATGGTCTGATTGACTTGTTCGTGGTGTGTGTGTGTGTGTGTGTCCGGTATCATGTGTCCCATTTCTTGTTTCTATCTAGATCGCGCTCGCAATCGGCATCCGTGAACATGGACAGAAAAAGGCGAACGCCGGATCCCAGACCCGGTCCGAGTTCATGACCCAGAAACGAGGCAGTCGCCAGCGAGTGGCGATAAACAAGGCGTTCTACCGCCGCTTCGTGCAGCTCTTTCAAGTGATCGTGCCTGGCCCGTTCACGGCCGAAACGGGCTTTGCTGCTCTTGTCGCCGTGATGCTCGTGGCTCGCACGTCCTTTGACATCGCCGTGCTGCACACGTTCACAGCCATTGAACGGGCGATTATCTCTCGGTCGCGGACGGACTTTTTGCGCCACTTGCGGCGGTTTGTTGCAATGATGCTGCCCATGAGCTGCATCAATAGCCTGCTCAAGTACGGCCACGCAGAGCTCGGGCTGCGCTTTCGGACGCGCCTGACGCGGTACTTATACGCGCAGTATGTCAAGGGATTCGTGTACTACCGCGTATCGAACTTGGACAACCGCATCTCGAACGCCGACCAGCTGCTGACAGTGGACGTGGAGAGGTTTTCCAACTCGGTCGCTGACTTGTACTCCAACATGTCCAAGCCACTGTTGGACATTGTTCTCTATGCCGTAAAACTCTCGTCGACGATTGGCGTTGAAGGTCCAGTGATTATGCTGAGCTACTTGGTTGTGTCCGGCTTCTTCCTCACGTGGTTGCGTCAACCGACGAGTCGATTCACGATCGCGGAACAACAGATGGAAGGTACTTTTCGCTTTATGAACTCGCGGCTCATCACGCACAGCGAGGAGATTGCGTTTTACAACGGCAATGTCCGCGAGAAACGCATCTTGGACCAGTCATTCAATCGACTCATCGATCTCGTGCGTAGCTCCCAGCAGTTTCGGTTCTCTATGAGCGTTATTGACAACGTGGTGGCCAAATATTCGGCCACAGTTGTCGGCTATGCTGTGTTGTCAAAGCCCTTTTTGGACATGTCGAACCAGCGACTGGAGACCTCAACGTATGCAGACCGAATGGAAGATTACTTTCGGTCTGGAAAGATGCTGCTGAAAATGTCTGAAGCAATGGGTCGTCTGGTGCTTTCCGGTCGTGAACTGTCGCGCCTCGCAGGATTTACAGCGCGTGTTACGGAAATGATTGACGTTCTGTCCGATCTGGACCAGGGAAAGTACCAGCGCACGATGCTCCAAAGTGAGAGTGTGGATCTTGTGGGAGAATCCAAAGCGCAATCTACTTCAGCTGAGTCGCTTGGACTGTACCCGAACAAGGGCAACATCCGCTATCGTGACCATGTCATCCAGTTCGAGGACGTGCCACTTGTGACGCCGAACGGCGACGTGTTGGTGCCTTCGCTCAACATCAAGGTTCAGTCTGGAATGAATGTCGTTGTCGCAGGACCCAACGGTTGTGGCAAAAGCTCGCTCTTTCGTATTCTCGGCGAGCTGTGGCCAATGTTTGGCGGACAGCTAACAAAGCCGGAGCGTAACGGATTGTTCTACATCCCCCAGCGTCCGTATTTGACGTTAGGCACTCTTCGCGATCAGATTATCTACCCTCATTCACTCAAGGATATGCAGGCATGTGGGAGGACGGACGCAGACTTATCGCATTACCTCGAGAAGGTTCAGCTGGGTCACCTGGTCCAACGTGAAGGTGGATGGGATGTTGTCCATGACTGGGCAGACGTTCTCTCCGGCGGTGAGAAGCAGCGCGTGGCTATGGCACGCTTATTTTACCACAAGCCTCAGTTTGCTATCCTGGACGAATGCACATCTGCTGTCAGCGTTGATGTCGAAGGTGCAATGTACAGCTTCTGCCGCGAGCAGAACATCACGTTGTTTACTGTGTCGCACCGCAAGTCGTTGTGGGCGTACCACGAATATGTACTCCGGGTGCGTGCTCGGATTTATGTATCCAGTAGAGTATCCTGTGCTGACGCTCGTGATTGTTGTTGTTGATTCCTGCGCAGTTCGATGGCCGCGGCCACTACGAATTCAAGAAAATAGACAAGGCCGACGAAGCTTTCGGCTCTTAGATGCTCGCCCATTTTGTCGTTCGAGCTTGCAAAAATTGCCGACATAGAGCAATTTACACGTCTTGACATCAATATGCTGAAATCATCGTGACCTTATTGCAGCTCCTGCTTGTTGTCGCAATGTTCTTTCAGGCACATCTGCGACTCGAAGGCGCTGCATATTGTCGTTCTAGCCACGAATATCAGGACTCAGTAGCTCACTTATGGATAATTGATGCAGTGTGCAGGTCTTGTTGTATTACAACAGGCAATGCGCTTGTGACAAGTGAAGCTGCGTGGTCCACTGTGTCACGGGGTAGCCCGTTACATGATATTGACACCAAACGGTATCAATAGGGAGATTGTCTAGCGTGACATTTCCCTATCAGTTTTGTCCGAGATGGATATTATTGAAGCAATATTATCCCCTTGTAGGATGATTTTCATGCGCTGCTCAAAGATTGGTTGATAAAGACATATCAACCAAGGTTACCACCAATCGCTGCTAGACGCGCGCAATGAGTTGTGAGCAGGTTGTCGTCATACGACAATGTTGATTAATATAGTTAGATAAAGACTGAAGTTATATTGATAGCTTAACTGTATTAAATACAGTTCGCTTTTTACCTTTACTCAAACTAGCAGTTTGAGTAGATTTGCTTCCTTTGCACGTACTAGTGTACGTGAAGTCTCGCGGCACCCCAAACAAAGGGTGCCCCGTTACACCTGGTAGCACTTCGTAGTCCGCCCAACGACTACTTAGTGTCCGCCCAACATGAACATGTTGGACGTAGAAGACGACAGCTTTCACGTCACACGTCAAGGATACTCCCATCTGAGTGAATCAGAATAGGAGGTAGTCGGCCGCATGAGTGTGCTCATAAGCGAACCCGCCATCATTGGCATGTTGGAGCCTCTGAACAGAGACTAGCAACATGCTGCTATCAACAAGTTCCTACAAGGGGAACTTGCCGTCGTAAGACAGAAGATATCCTTGCTACAATAGCAAGGCTCTCATCAGTCGATGGGCAGACCGACGCACACGCGTCGACCCAAACCTAGAAGATAGACATCTCAAGGTACAAGGGAACCGATGAAGATTCCCTTCTGAAATGGTTCTTCGAGTTAGACGACGCCATCAGGGCCCGTCACATCGAGGATGACGAGATGCAAGTCACCTTCGCCCTGTCAAGTTTGACAGTACGAGCAACGACTTGGTCCTTAGGGCTCAAGCTTCACGACCCAAACGTGTTTGAGTCGTCAGAGATCTTAAAGTCTCGGCTCAAAGAGACGTTTGAGCCGTCAAGAGCTGACTTCAGAGCACGCTCTGCACTCTCGAGGCTCAAGCAAGGTAAGCGTGACGTGCACGCTTACGCACAGCACCTGCGCTACCTTGCGAGAAGCGTCACAGAAAACCCTGTTGATGAGCACACACTCATCAACGTGTTCATCTACGGCCTTGTAGAAGGACCGGTGAAGACCTACATGTTACAAGAGGACTTCCATACACTGGAAAGGGCGATAGCGTATGCGGAACAAGAAGACTTCAGCCTGAGACAGTCTCAGGCTAACTCGTCAAACTATCGTCCGACGAGACGACAGCAAACAGGAGGTCCCGAACCTATGGACCTCTGTTACATCGAGAGCAAGAACTCTCTCTCTCCGAGTCACAAGCGAGCGGCAAGATGCCATCGCTGTCAGAAGATTGGACACTAGGCTCATGAGTGTAGTGTCCCGAGCACCATAACACGTCCAAATTACAGGACGTGATGACCACCGTTCGTCAAGGAAGGGTCTGAGGCACAGGTTCAACCATGTCGCTAAGCAGCGACAGCGAGTCGGGCCGTAAAAAACTATCAGGGTCAGTAGGGGCCGAGCACCTTGCTGATCCACAACCTCAAGAGAATTTGCAGGACTCTTGACGAAGATTTCTCCCAACACACAGTCGCTGTGTGTTACTGCCCCTAGTAATGAGGTGTCCCTCATCACTTTGAAGATTGAAGTGACAAGTGGAATGTCACTTCGCGCCCTAGTTGACTGTGTGGTGTCGAACAGTTTTATTCGACGCCAGTCGCTGGAAGATAGTAGACTCAGCTATGTTGAGCGAGAGATACATCCAACAAGGATGACGGTGTGCCTTGCTACAGGCGCATCCGTAACAGTGAACAAACGTGTCGTGGGAATCCACTACACGCCAGAAGGAAAGCAGTACGATGATGACTTCATCGTACTGGATTTGGATGACAAATTTGATGTCATCCTCGGTCTGCCATGGCTCAGAAAGCACCATCCATGGATCAGCTGGCAGCATTGATCCGTGAAGATGCCTGCCATTTGTCCACCAGATGGCCATTTGATGAACGTCTTGGAGCTTCCACAAGCGTGTGGGCGTACTACGAGTGAGTGCGATGGCCTCACATGCGGTACGGTTATTTATGACGTAGTTCTTACGGTAATTGCCACTGTTAATTAGACACGTAGGATAATGAGACGCTCCACAAAACTTTTTGTACACCACATATAAATCATGTAGTAAGCAGTAAGCCCCGATAATCAATCGCTTTCGAATCTTCCAACTAGTGAGCAAGTGTCTTCTGCTCTACTCTCTTCAGCCTCTCCGCTCCCTTCGCTCCGCTTTCTGCCATGCGACATGGCGAAATCGAATCTTGCAACAGTTGCATGAAGTCAGCACCCCGCTCGCTCATTGTTTTCAGTACTTAGCGATAATGTGATGTCAGGACAGTGTTAAGATGTAACGAGCACTGGGCGAGAGAACGAAGCTTGAAGAACTTGAAAGAAGTCTACACTGCGAAGTGAAGACGACTTGTGTAGGAGAAGGAATATTCGAAAGTGATTTTGTTTGTGGGTTTTTGTTAAAGCTACCTGATTTATCCCTGCACTGATTTATATGCTGTCCACATATGAATCATGAATCACAAATCATGTAGGTCATCCAATCATTCTATGCGTCTTATCATTGGTAAAAACTCACCGTTATTACGCGGGATCGACTTGGAAAGGTTTACGGGTTTCCATGGTAGCTTATAACAGCACCTCAACCGTCAACCCATAATACGCCCCCTCAATGCGAACAGGCGTGTATGCCGAGCGCTGCCGTCAAGTCCTTGTGACGCGGTCCTGGTATTCCCTTCGTCATGATGTCCGCCAACATAGTCGTAGTCTCACAGTACTCCAACTTGACATCACCACGCTTGACTTCATCACGAATGTGATGGTACTTGATGTCAATGTGCTTGGCCCGACCATGGTTCACAGGAATCTCCGTCATCTTGGTGCACGATTGTTTATCTTCCATGATCTTGAGCTCGGGTCCAAACTTGTCCTCTGCGGCATCCAGAATCTCGCACAGCAATCGATGTACCCGCTTGCCTTCTTGAATTGCCAGACTTAGTGCAATGTACTCAGCTTCACTTGTTGACAGAGTCACACTTGACTGCTTTTTGCTTCCCCAGATCACCGGAGCACCCATCAGGATGAACGCATATCCCGAAGTCGACATGCGGTCTGCATGGTCGCCGGCACAGTCTGCATCCAAGTAGCCGCAGAATTCTACCTTGCCATCAGACTCGAAACAGATGCCGTGCGACTTAGTCGCTTGTACGTATCTCAAAATGCGCTTGACCGCCATCCAATGCTCGACTTGGGGGTTTTCCATGAAGCGCGAAACGTAACTCACAGCAAAGGCAATGTCCGGTCGTGTCGCGGTCATCAAGTGCATTAAAGCGCCTACTGCTTCAAGAAACGGGGCGTGGATTTTGGTTGCTGCGGTGCTTGGTATGAGTCGAGAACTGATGTCTATTGGGCTGATTACGGCTTTGCAGTCGCTCGTGCCAAAACGCTTGAGAACATCTTTCACGTAGCGTCGCTGGCACATCGTCACGCTACCGTTGTCGTTGTCCACCATCTCGATGCCCAACACGAATGCGCACTTGCCGCTGTCAGTCATTTCGAACCGCGCCTTTAAGTCACTCTTGGTGCGCATAATCAGATCGGTCGAGCTGCCAGTCACCAACACATCATCAAAGTATACCAGCAAAAGCACGCACTCGCCACTTGTAATCTTGAGATAAAGACACGGGTCAAAATCGGATACTTGAAATCCAATGGAGCAGACGAATTCATGAAAAGTCTCATTCCATACGCGCGATGCTTGTTTTAGTCCGTAGATCGCCTTGACCAGTTCGAAGCAGTCAAAGTCTTCATCAACTTCGACCCCTTCTGGGATCGTGCAGAATACCTTTTCCTTCATTTCTCCGTATAGGAAAGCTGTCACCACGTCCATTTGGTCCAGTGTCCAGTCAAAGTACTTCGTGATTGCAACCACCATGCGCAGCGTCACGTACTTGACTACCGGCGAAAACGTCTCCATGTAGTCGATGCCATATTTCGGCTTGAAGACCTTGGCAACGAGACGCGTCTTGTATTTCTCGATGGATCCATCAGCTTTCCGCTTGATCTTGAATACCCACTTGGTGCCAATGGTATGCTGTCCAGCTGGCAGTTTGGTCGCTCGAAACACGCCACGAAGTTTCATCGAGTCCAACTCGGCACATATTGCTTTACGCCAATGTACTTGATCTGGTACACTAACAGCATCTTCAAACGTTGTCGGCTCAGACAATTCAGTACGTTCGACTGCGTTGGCACTCGCTCGCCAAAAGACTTGAGGTATAGCATCCTCGTTATCTTCGTCACTGCCCTTTCGCTCTTCGTCCAGATTGACTCGAGCGCTTGACCGTCGCTTCGCCTGGTGCGATTCAGAGCCATCCGGGGCACTTGCTTCTTCTAACCCGATTCCACGACGCTCAGGAAGCGTCCGTTGTAGAACTTGTTCTTGGCTGTTTGAACGGCTTTTGCGTTTAACAGTTTGCTTGAACTGCTTAGTATGAGGCTCATCGCTGATGTTCATCGATTCGATATCCAGCGCAGTGTCAGCAACAATTTCTTGTGGTAGCGTCGGCGAGAAACCAACGTTGATTCGTCGAATGTGACATCGCGAGATATCACCACTTGGTCCGCTTTAATGTCGTAAACGCGATATGCCTTTGAAACTTCTTCGTACCTCATGAATTGTCCTTCACGAGCCTTCGGATCCCATTTCGATCTCTTTTCCTTAGGGGTCAGCACAAACGTTCGGCAGCCGAAAACCCGCATGTGCTTCACACTTGGTCGAAATCCGTTGACGATCTCGATCACACTTGGGATGTACGAAGCCAGTAGAGGCCATCCACAAGATCGGCCATCGCCATTACTTGCTTGGAGTCCTTGTGCAAAATCTTCATCTCGTCACCATCAAACACCACTTGAAACTTGCCGCTTTTGTTGATTTGTGGTATCGAAAGCAAGTTCTTGTTCATGCTTGGGACGTAAAGCGCGTTCTTGATCTCGACTTCGTGCTCTTCACCGTTGGACAGGATCACCTTTTCGACGATTGTCCCGACACCGTTGATCGCAGCCTTGCTCCCATCTGCAACCAACACTTCACCTTCATTGCGCTCGTCAAGAACTTCAAACTTGGACTTGTCATAGCAGATAAGGTGCGTTGTACCTCTGTCAATCGCCCACATTCTAGACATGCTCCTGGTCGTTAAAAGTCCGCATTCCAGCGAAACAGCAAACGCCACTCGATCATAGTCATAGTTGTTGTTGCCGTTGTAGCCTTGCCACTGAACTTGATTCGCTCCGCGTCCACGAGCATTGCCGCCGCGTCGAGCTCCCCGATAGTCTTCCTTCTGCTTGGTTCAGCACTTTTCCACCGTGTTCCCCAACTTTCCGCAGAACGTACACTGACGAACCTCACGCTCGGTACTGAAGGCCTTGGTCGCTTCTTCAGTCTTCACCGATGTCGTCTTGTTTCCTTGTCTCTTGATGTGCTCAATCGTCAGCACTTTCACGACGTCTTGCGTCCGCAGTTCCGCGCTGCTCATCTCCAAGTCCAGCACGACGTTCTCGCATCTCTTGGGGAGGCTGCACAACAAGCAGATCGCCACGTCCTCATCCTCCATCTTGGCGCCGATACTGCTGAGATTGGCGCTGATGTTGAGAACTTCATTGCAATGATGCATTACATTGCCGCCTTCCGCCATATCTATGCTGAACAGCTGTCGCTTCAAGAAGATCCGTCCCGCCTTCTGCGATCCGCCGTAGAGAGTCTTCAACCGTGTCCACGCAACCTATGCCTCCTCACAGTCATCAACCACGTGATGATAGTCCGCGCTCATGTGATGTAACATCAAGCCGAACGTAATGTTGTTGATCTTGACGTACTCATCACTGGCGCGAGGATCGGCGAAGGTGGGGGTGGTCTCCCGGTTGACCACGTGCCACGTCGACTTGTTCAGGAACACGCCACGCATGTAGCGGCTCCACGTCGCGTATTTGTCTCCATCGAATCTATCGATAGAGATCGTGGTGACGGAATCTTGAGCAGAGGGCATCGTGCTTGGTCTCATAACTTGTTAGGATGTAATGAGCACCGGGCGAGAGAACGAAGCTTGAAGAACTTGAAAGAAGTCTACACTGCGAAGTGAAGACGACTTGTGTAGGAGAAAGAATATTCGGAAGTGATTTTATTTGTGGGTTTTTGTTAAAGCTACCTGATTTATCCCTGCACTGATTTATATGCTGTCCACATATGAATCATGAATCACAAATCATGTAGGTCATCCAATCATTCTATGCGTCTTATCATTGGTAAAAAATCACCGTTATTACGCGGGATCGACTTGGAAAGGTTTACGGGTTTCCATGGTAGCTGACAACAGTACCTCAACCGTTAACTGAAGAGCTATAGACTTCTTGGTCCGAGTGCAAAACGCAAAGTGAATATTTATTTATGATAGGTACTTAGTTCGCAACTTTGAATACTACCTCTAAGCCTATTATTCGCAGTGACGTCATCCATTGACGTCATGCAATGACGTCATTCCGCTGACGTCATTCCCTGACTTCGCCCTTACTGGTACATACCGGTACCCACCGGTATATCGAAGCTCGGTCTTCGGCTTGCTTCAACACTTGACGCAGCTTGACGAGGTGTCTTCTTCACAGCCTCCGTCTTTCCAACACTCCCTCTCGACTCGTTAGCGGCGGCACCTTGGATCCTAAGTCGATCGCGAATGTTTTTAAATTGAACAGTGGCGATCGGCTTGGTCATCATGTCCGCCAGCATATCTTGAGTCGGGCAATACTCCAAAACGACTTCGCCCGATTCCACCTTCTCACGCACAAAATGGTAGCGTATATCGATGTGCTTTGTTGTCTTATGGAACTCCTGGTTCTTGGTGAGAGCGATTGATCCTTGGTTGTCTTCATACATCTTGATCGCTTCGCTGCTTGCCATCTCACCAAGTTCCCTCAACAACACCTTGAGCCATACTGCTCCTTTGGTTGCTTCAGAAAGCGCCATGTATTCTGCTTCTGTTGAAGATAGCGCGACCGTCCGTTGTTTCTGGCTTTTCCGGCTGATGCATCCTCCGTTCATCATGAACACATAGCCGCTTGTACTTCGTCTTGACGCAATGTCGCCGGCCCATTCTGCGTCGGTGTACCCGCAGATACGGCTTCCTTCTTCACGTGTAAACTCAAGACCGTGATTGGGCGTTGCTTTCAGGTATCTCAGCACACGCTTCAAAGCTTGCCAGTGAGTCGGTCATAGGTCGGACGAGAACTGGGATAGTGATCCGACTGCAGCAGCTAGATCCGGACGTGTGGCGACCATGAGATACATGATGCCTCCGACAGCACTTCGATATGGCACGTTGTACATGGTGTCTTCGTGCTTGCATTCTTGGTCACACATGTTCTTGGTGAGCTTCAGATCGGGACCTTGAGGCGTCTTTAATGGCTTGCTGTTATCCATTCCAAACCTGGTCAACACGGACTTGAGAAACTTGGTTTGTCGCACAGTCACCATTCCAGTCTTACGGTCGTTCTTGATCTTCATGCCGAGAAAGTAATCGAGCTCACCGAGACCCGTCATTTCGAAGCGTGTGCTCAGCGCCATCTTTGTCGACTTGAGTAGTTCGTTGTTGCTGCTGGCCAGGATGAGATCATCGAAGTAGAGCACCACGAGAATCATGTCTTGGTCGTCTCGCTTGATGTAGATGCAGTGGTCCGATTCGCACTTCTTGAATCCCATCTTGATCATGAACCCATCGATCGTTTGGTTCCACATGCGTGGCGATTACTTCAAGCCGTAGAGCGATCTCTTAAGCTTGCACACATAGTACGGCTGTTTTGCATCCAGGTATCCTGCCGGTTGGTCCATGTAAGTATCTTAGGTTAGGTATCCTGCCGGTTGGTCCATGTAAGTATCTTTTCGTTGAGGGAGCCGTTAAGAAACGCTGTCTTGACGTCCATCTGATGTAGCATTAGGCCGTACCTGGCCGCCATGCTGAGCACCACACGAATCGATGTGAACTTGGCCACTGGTGTGAAAGTTTCTTCATAGTCAACTCTAAATTTCTGTGAGAATCCTTTGGCCACAAGTCTTGCCTTGAAACGTTCAACTTCGCCATTTTGATTCTCCTTGACACGAAACACACATCAGCACCCGATGGCTTTGCGATCTTTCGGAAGAGGCACGATTTTTCACGTGTCGTTTCTCTGAAGCGAGTCGAACTCCGAGTCACACGCTTTTTTCCACTTGCCGGAGTCGCTTGATTCCATCGCCGACTTGAATGTAGTCGGCATTTCCCCCACTGAATCAACGATGTAGGCTGCTTCAAAATCCATCGCAGCCGCTGACACATGCTCAAGCGACGGACCTCTGTACGTTCTTCGCTTGGGACTTGGAATGACGGTAGCTTATTCAAGTGATTGAGTGCGCGTGTGTCTCTTGATGTTGCTCTTCGGAGACCTGGTGTCATCGTCGTCATCGTCGCTCGAGTTCATGTCGACGTCAGTTTTACCTTCTTCTTTTTCTTCGTCGACGTCAGTTTTACCTTCTTCTTTTTCTTCGTCGTCGTCTTAATCGTCAAACTGAACGGCACTTGACTCATCGTTGTAGTTGCGCGGACCTTCATCAAACTTGTCTTCCATGAACGTGGCATCGCGACTGATCTTGATCGCTCCTGTTAACACTTCCTCGAGATCGATTTGACTTCTGGTGTTCGGCGTACACCAGGAAACGACAGAGTGATGACTTGGAGTCGAACTTCGCGCGTTTGTCTTGAGGCACTTGAACATACGCGTGGCATCCAAACACTTTAAGGTTGGCCAGAATCGGTTTCTTCATCGTCCACACTTGATATGGAGACTTGTCTTGGTGTATGGCACGTGTTGGACAGCGGTTTTGAAGAAACATCGCTGTCATCACTTCTTCGCCCCAGGATCTCTTTCCCAGTCCAGCATGCTCCATCATACAGCGCGCACACTCGACCAGCGTGCGATTCATTCTCTCAGCTACTCTGTTGAGCTGAGGAGTATATGGGGGTGTGAACCTTTGTTGTATCCCCCGTTCCGCGCAGAATCGTGCCAACTTGTCGGACTTGTACTCACCCCCATTGTCGCTTTGAAGGTACTTCACGCGCTTTCCGGTTTGCGTTTCGGCCATCGCAGCGTATCTCATGAACTTCGCCGCAACTTCAGATTTTCTCTTGAGCAGATACACGACACAGTATCTTGACTTGTCGTCGATGAATGTCACAAAGTACCGCTTTCCACTGAAAGTTGCCATCGACATCGGTCCGCATACGTCGCTGTGAATCACTTCGAGCAGTTTGGAGGTGCGAGCTGTAGTGTTCGATTGGAAGCGCACTCGAGTCTGTTTTCCCAGAGCACAACCTTCACATACGTCCCACTTCTTCACCGAAGATATGTCGATGCCAATTCCAATGTTCTTCGTCACGATGCAATTGAGTCCATCATGACCTATGTGGCCAAGCCGAAGGTGCCAGAGGTACGACTTGGTGCCCCCTTGACATCCCGTCGACTTGGCTGCATTTGCTTGTTCCGGCGCCACTGGAGTCATTTGCAGCTTGAACAGTCCTTTACCTTCACGGGCACCAATTTTCCACTTGGTCCCTTTCGATTCTCCATAGCACCCATACTTTGTGAACTTCACTGGGCCGACATCCTTGGTGAGGCGGCCGACTGAGAACAGGTTTCTGGATAACTTTGGGATGTGCCACACGTTTGTGAGCACACCTTTCTTCATCTCTTGAGGTGTCTTCATCGACATAACAATGTCCCCACTGCCGATTGCTTGGACGATTCCATCATCCGCAAAATGGACATCAACAGCGTTAAACACCTTATAGTTCCGCATGAACTTCTTAGAGCCCGTCATGTGCTGCGTCGCCCCGGAGTCGACCAGCCAGATGCCGCTCGATTTCGCAGATGTCGTTTCACCGATCGAGAAGAGGTAGTCGCCCGAGTTGTCTTCTTGAGCGAGATTTGCACGTTGTGATCGATAACGGTCGCCGCTGTCTTGAGCGCGCTGTAGCCGATGTCTCTCCGTGTTTTCTTGGATGCGCGAGGGGCACTCCGCCATCCAGTGACCAATCTTTCCGCAATTGTGGCACGGTCAGGACTTCTTCACTGGTCGCCCTTTGCGCTGCTTGTCCCTTGTGATGAACGCTTGACCTTGTGAAGCTTCATCACCTTTACTTCCTTGCTCCTTCCGCTTCATTTCTTCATGAAGCAGTCGAGACGTCACGAGCTCCCAGCTAAGAGTGTCTGAGCGCGACTCCAAAGATGTGATCAAGAATTGATACGAGTCACTCAGACTGCCGAGAAGAGTGATCACCAGATTGTCCTCGCAGACCGGAGCCCCCACCGCTTCTAGCTGTTCCGCCAACGTCTTGAGCTTTACAATTTGTTCGAGCACATCGTCGCTTTCTTCTATCATCGTCGTGAAGAAGCGACGGCGCAAGAACAGCTTGTTGGCAAGACTCTTCTTCTCGAAGTGGTCTTCCAACCTTGACCATGTGTCGCATGCACCACTTTCCGACCGGACCAACGGTATCTGGGAATCTTCCATGGCTAGACGGATCACTGCCATCGCCTTTCTTGACTTCCTCTTGTACGCCGCTTGTTCCAACTGAGTCACGCACGTTCCGCCTTGATCTCGCCGCTGACGACCTCCCACAGGTCCCGTTCCTCCAGCACCATCTGCATCTTGAACTTCCAGGCGTGGAAGTTAGTTCCATCGAACTTGAAGATGCGGAGGGAGGAGGCGTCCATGGCAGCGAGGCTTGAATTGTTGGCGGTTTCAGAGTCTGACGAACTTGGGCTCATAACCTGAAGAACTTTAGACTTCTTGGTTCGAGTGCAAAACGCAAAGTGAATGTTTATTTATAATAGGTACTTAGTTCGCAACTTTGAATACTACCTCTAAGCCTATTATTCGCAGTGACGTCACCCATTGACGTCATGCAATGACGTCATTCCGCTGACGCCATCCAGTGACGTCATTCCCTGACTTCGCCCTTACTGGTACATACCGGTACCCACCGGTATATCGAAGCTCGGTCTTCGGCTTGCTTCAACACTTGACGCAGCTTGACGAGGTGTCTTCTTCACAGCTGCCGTCTTGCCAGAAAAATGTCACTGAACGAAGCCATCACAATTTACGAAGAAAATTAAGGATCATAAGTAGCGGCCAAGAACCCGGAGAGCCACAAGCTTACTAAGCTCATTGACATTCGTGTTGAAGGTCATCGATTCGTCACTCTCGTGCCATACCATCAACAATTCTCTATCACTTCGTGCGAGAATAAGTCGAAGATGGTCAAGTGGTACTGCAATACTGCTTGACGAAGTATTATGGAGTTGCGGTTGAGGTACTGTTGTCAGCTACCATGGAAACCGTAAGCCTTTCCAAGTCGATCCCGCGTAATAACGGTGAGTTTTTACCAATGATAAGACGCATAGAATGATTGGATGACCTACATGATTTGTGATTCATGATTCATATGTGGACAGCATATAAATCAGTGCAGGGATAAATCAGGTAGCTTTAACAAAAACCCACAAACAAAATCACTTCCGAATATTCTTTCTCCTACACAAGTCGTCTTCACTTCGCAGTGTAGAGTTCTTTCAAGTTCTTCAAGCTTCGTTCTCTCGCCCGGTGCTCATTACATCCTAACAAGTTATGAGACCAAGCACGATGCCCTCTGCTCAAGATTCCGCCACCACGATCTCTATCGATAGATTCGATGGAGACAAATACGCGACGTGGAGCCGCTACATGCGTGGCGTGTTCCTGAACAAGTCGACGTGGCACGTGGTCAACCGGGAGACCACCCCCACCTTCGCCGATCCTCGCGCCAGTGATGAGTACGTCAAGACCGACAACATTACGTTCGGCTTGATGTTACATAACATGAGCGCGGACTATCATCACGTGGTTGATGACTGTGAGGAGGCATAGGTTGCGTGGACACGGTTGAAGACTCTCTACGGCGGATCGCAGAAGGCGGGACGGATCTTCTTGAAGCGACAGCTGTTCAGCATAGATATGGCGGAAGGCGGCAATGTAATGCATCATTGCAATGAAGTTCTCAACATCAGCGCCAATCTCAGCAGTATCGGCGCCAAGATGGAGGATGAGGACGTGGCGATCTGCTTGTTGTGCAGCCTCCCCAAGAGATGCGAGAACGTCGTGCTGGACTTGGAGATGAGCAGCGCGGAACTGCGGACGCAAGACGTCGTGAAAGTGCTGACGATTGAGCACATCAAGAGACAAGGAAACAAGACGACATCGGTGAAGACTGAAGAAGCGACCAAGGCCTTCAGTACCGAGCGTGAGGTTCGTCAGTGTACGTTCTGCGGAAAGTTGGGGAACACGGTGGAAAAGTGCTGAACCAAGCAGAAGGAAGACTATCGGGGAGCTCGACGCGGCGGCAATGCTCGTGGACGCGGAGCGAATCAAGTTCAGTGGCAAGGCTACAACGGCAACAACAACTATGACTATGATCGAGTGGCGTTTGCTGTTTCGCTGGAATGCGGACTTCAACGACCAAGAGCATGTCTAGAATGTGGGCGATTGACAGAGGTGCAACGCACCTTATCTGCTATGACAAGTCCAAGTTTGAAGTTCTTGACGAGCGCAATGAAGGTGAATTGTTGATTGCAGATGGGAACAAGGCTGCGATCAACGGTGTCGGGACAATCGTCGAAAAGGTGATCCTGTCCAGCAGTGAAGAGCACGAAGTCGAGATCAAGGACGCGCTTTACGTCCCAAGCATGAACAAGAACTTGCTTTCGATACCACAATCAACAAAAGCGGCAAGTTTCAAGTGGTGTTTGATGGTGACGAGATGAAGATTTTGCACAAGAACTCCAAGCAAGTAATGGCGATGGCCGATCTTGTGGATAGCCTCTACTGGCTTCGTACATCCCAACGATCCGTGTATGCGGCTTCATGACCAAAAGTTGAAGACCTTCGTGCGCATATGTGCCACGCACCGTTTGATGTCTTGTGCAGGATGGTCTCCAAGGGCATGATCAAGGATGCCAAGATGCCAACAAAATTGAGCGGATCAAGCTTGTGTCAAGGTTGTCTAGAAGGAAAATAATTTCAACGACCATTCCCAAGCAATCCAAACAAGCGCCACTACGATCCGTTTGAGCTTCTACACATTGACACTTGTGGTTGTTGAAGGTGTGGCACGGGAGTGAAGAGAAGACTGGAAGAGACCGGAGGGAGCGAAGAGGCTTGAGGAACGGAGCAGAGAAGACTTGCTTGGCAGAAGGAGAATTCGAAAGTGATTGATTGTCGGGGCTTACTCTTTACTACATCAGTCATATGTGATGCACATATAAATCATGTGAAGCGTATCATCATCCTGCGCATCTAAACAACTTTGGTAATTGCCGTAAGAACTACGTCGTAAATACTAAGCTGAACAGGCGGTTCGGATTGGACCAGTCACGGTTACCAATACTGGCAGGAAACCGATGACCGTCAACACGCTCCCTCAATGCGAACACGCACAAATCCCGAGAGCCGCCGTCATCTCCTTGTGGCGTGGCCCGTGAAGCCCTTTCGTCATGATGTACGCTAACTTCACCGCAGTTTCAAAGTACTTGAGCTTCACTTCACCGCGCTTGACCTCATCACGGATGTGACGATACTTTATGTCAATGTGCTTGGCACGGCCGTGGTTGACCGGGTTCTTCGTCATCTTGATACACGACTGATTGTCTTCATGGATCATTAGTTCCAGTCCTTCTTAACTGGCAGCCATCACGATCTCACAAAGCAGACGATGAATCCACTTGCCCTCTTGAATCGTCAAGCTGAGTGCGATGTATTCAGCTTCAGTCGTGGACAACGAAACACTTGGCTGTTTCTTGCTGCCCCAACTCACTGGCGCACCAAGTAGCATGAACGTGTACCCCAAGGTTGACTTGCGGTCGGTAAGATCACCAGCCCAGTCCGCATCCGAATATCCACGGAATTCGATCTTGTTGTTTAGCTTATAGCAGATTTCGTGCATCTTGGTGCCTTGTAGGTAGCGGAAGATGCGCTTGACCGCAACCAAGTGTTCTTCTCGGGGGTTCTCCATGAATCGCGACACATAGCCCACGGCGAACGCAATATCCGGGCGCGTTGCAGTGGTCAGGTGCATCGACACACCAACAGCTTCGCGAAAAGGAGCATCGACCTTGGTGGCTGCATCACTTGAAACAAGTCGAGAGCTCATGTCGACTGGACTTGCGACGGCCTTGCAATCATCCATACCAAAGCGCTTGAGTATGTCATCTACATACCGATGCTGACATAGTGTCACACTTCCATCTGCGCCGTCCAAAAGCTCGATTCCAAGCACAAATGCACACTTGACGCTGTCAGTCATCTCAAATCGTGTCTTCAGGTCGGTCTTGGTGCGTGCAATTAGCTCGCATGAGCTACAGGTGATCAACACGTCATCTACATGCACCAGCAGCAGCACGCATTGCCCTTCCACAATCCTTATGTAGAGACACGGGTCGAGGCTTGACGCTCGAAATCCAATGGCACACACGAACTCCTCAAAAGTCTCGTTTCATACGCGCTACGCTTGCTTGAGTCCGTAGATTGCCTTCACCAATTCCAGACAATCAAAGGAGCCTTGCAATTCCACGCCTTCAGGAATGACACAGAACACTTGTTCCTTCATGACACCGTACAGGAATGCCGTTACCACGTCAAGTTGGTCGATGGTCCATCTGAAATACTTGGCGAATGCAATCACCATGCGCAGCGTCACGTACATGATCACGAGCGAGAACGTTTCCGTGTAGTCGATCCCGTACTATTGCTTGAAACCCTTTGCTACAAGACGCGCCTTGTATTTGTCAATTGATCCGTCCGCTTTGCGCTTGATCTTGAAGACCCACTTCGTGCCAATGGCGCGATGTCCTTTAGGTAGCTTGGCTGCGCGGAATACTTCACGAAGTCGCATCGGCTTAAGTTCCGCACGGATAGCTTCGCGCCAATGCACTTGATCAGGACCGCTCACCGCAGCTTCAAAAGTCGATGGCTCGGATAAGTCCACTGCTATTTCGATGGCGTTCGCACTCGCACGCCAAAACACAGGCGGAGTCGATGCATTAGCATTCTTTGTTTCTTCATCTTCTTCTTGGTGGGTCGTGTGATTGTCTGGCGCACTTGATTCTTCTAGTCCAGGCCGTTGACGCACTGTGCGCGTGGGTGGACCTTGCCTGTTTACTTGTACTGCGCTTGAACTGGCGCTTCATCATCCAGATCGAGGGAGTCGAAGTCAACGTCATCGGCGTCTTCAGCGGTGGTTGGCGGCGAAAGTCCAAAGGCGGACTCGTCAAAGTTGACATCACGACAGACAACCACCTTCCCCGCCTCAACGTCATAAACGCGATAGGCTTTGGATGCTTCTTCGTAGCCCGCAAATGTGCCAGCACCAGCCTTTGGATCCCACTTGAGTCGATTCTCTTTCGCATCAGTATGTACGTCTGACACCTGAATGCTCGCATGTGCTCGACGCTTGGTTTCGAGTTGTCGACAATCTCAAACGGGGTCTTGTGTACATCTTTAGGCGGCGGCAGTCGATTCTTGACGTGGATGGCCGTCATCGCTGCTTCAGCCCACGAACACTTGTCCAGTTTGGCATGATGAAGCATGCTGCGGCCGATCGTGACGATAGTTCTAATAGCACGCTCTGTTGTTTCGTTGGTTTGATGCGCATATGCGCCGTTGTCTGCTTTTCAATGCCTTCATCTTCGTAGAACAATCGAAGCGAGTTGGTTGCGAACTCGCGGGATCCGTCGTGTAGCACAAACTTGACCTTCTTACTCAACTGCGTCTGTACCATAGTGATGTACTTCCGGATGTAGTCTTCACTCTCGGACTTCACTCGTAAAAAGCCCTTCATACATCCACTGGCTTCGTCTACGATCAGTGCCAAATATCTGCTGCCACCGAGCGATTCGTTTTCCATGGGCACACAGATGTCTAGATGAAGCAGCTCGAACGTATCGTAGTTACGCTTGTCGCGGTTGCTTGGAAATGGTTTATGGACCATTTTACCTTGTTGGAACCCTCAACATGCAGTTGCTCCACCCGACTTAAGAGGGACTCGCACATCCTTGATCATGTTGGTCGTGATCACCTTGCGTAGTACGTCGACTGAAGCGTGACCCATTCGCGAATGTAGGTCAGCACAACTGGTTCCACTTGTTGTCACATTCGCTGATCGTTGAGTCGTCCGAAGCCAGTAAGATCCATCCACAAGATCCGCTGTCGCCACCACTTGCTGTGAGTTCTTGAGAGTCACATACATCTTGGACCCGTTAAACACGACTTGGAACTTGCCATGCGTGTTGATCTGTGGCACCGAAAGAAGGTTCTTGATAATACTTCGAGCATATAACGCTTTCTTGATCTTGATCTCGCGCTCTTCACAGTTGGACAGAACCACCTTTTCAATGATGGATCCCACACCCTCGATGGCCGCTTGATACCATCAGCCACCAGGATCTCGCCATCGTTTCCTTTGACCAAGCTTGTAAACTTGTTTTTGTTGTGGAAAATGTGGTGCGTTTCACGACGGCCCATTCCAGACATGTCCTTGCTCGTCAAAACTCCGCTTATTTTTAGACGAGCCTTCAGCCATCTTGATGCTGAAAAGTCGCCGATTGAGGAAGATGCGTTCTGCCTTCTGCGACCTACCGTACAGCGTCTTCAGACTTGTCCACGCAACACACGCTTCCTCGCATTTGTCAAGCACATGGTGGTAATCCGCATTCATGTGCAGCAGCATCATACCAAATGCGACGTCGCTCGCCTTGACGTAGTCATCCGGCGCTCGAGGGTCACTGAAAGTCGGAGTCGTGTCACGGTTCACGACGTACCAGACGGACTTCTTCAAAAACACACCGCGCATGTATCGACTCCAAGTCGCGTAGTTGTCTCCATTGAACTTATCAATGGAGGCGTTGGATGATGCGTTGGTGGTTTACGACATGGAACTCGGACTCATACCTGTTGCATTGCAAAGAGCGGAACGAGGGGTGCGGAGAGGCTGAAGAGAGTAGAGCAGAAGACACTTGCTCACGAGTTGGAAGATTCGGAAGTGATTGATTATCGGGGCTTACTACTTACTACATGATTTACATTTGGTGTACATACAAATCATGTGAAGCGTCTCATCATCCGACGCGTTCAATCAACTATGGGTAATTACCGTAAGAACTACGTCGTAAAAGCTGAGCAGGCGGTTCAGATTGAACCGGTCAAGGTTACCAATACTGGTAGAAAACCGATGACCGTCAACACGTTCCCTCAATCCGAACGCGCTCAGATGCCTAGCGCCACTGTTAAGTCCTTGTGGCGCGGTCCGTGAATTCCCTTGGTCATAATGTCTGCCGACATCACCGTCGTCTCGCATTATTCAAGCTTCACTTCACCGCGCTCGACTTCATCGCGAATGTGATGGTATTTGATATCACTGTGTTTGGCGCGGCCGTGATTGACCGGATTCTTGGTCATTTTGATGCAGGACCAGTTTTCTTCTCGGATGATGAGATCGGGTCCGTCCTCGTTAGCAGCTGCCATGATCTCGCATCGTAAGCGGTTGATCCACTTGCCTTCTTGAATCGCCAGACTTAGCGCAATGTACTCCGCTTCACTTGTAGACAGTGACACACTTGGCTGCTTCTTGCTGACCCAACTCACTGGAGCACCCAATAGCATAAAAACGTAGCCAGATATTGACTTGCGATCAGTGAGGTGCGTCCAAAGAACCACGAAAGTCGATCCTTGCGCGTGGCTTGTAGCAAATTCCATGCATCTTAGTGCCTTATAGGTAGCGAAAGATGCGCTTGACCGCAACCCAGTGTTCTTCTTGGGGAATCTTCATGAAGCGCGACACAAAGCTCACAGCATAGGCAATGTCCGGTCGTTTTGCAGTCGTCAGATGCATCAAAGCACCAACAGCTTCACGGAATGGAACATCGATCTTGCTCGCAGTGCTGCTTGACATCAGTCGAGAACTGACATCCACAGGACTCGCCACAGCCTTGCACTCCTCCTCCATTCCAAAGCGCTTGAGGATATCATCGACATAATGGCGCTGACACAGAGTCACACTGCCACCTTCACCGTCCAAAAGCTCAATTCCAAGAACAAATGCACACTTGCCGCTATCAGTCATCTCAAAGCGTGTCTTCAGGTCGTTCTTGTTTCGTGTAATTAGCTCGAGCGAGCTTCCAGTCACCAAGACGTCTTCCACGTCGACCAGTACAAGCACACAATGGCCGTCCGAAGTCTTGATGTAGAGACATGGGTCGAGGTACGACGCTTGGAATCCAATGGAACACACACTTGTCAAAAGTCTTGTTCCATACTCGCAAAGCTTGCTTCAGGCCGTAAATTGACTTCACTATTACCATGCAGTCGAACGTACTATCAAGGTTGACGCCTTCAGGAATCACAGAGATCACTTGTTCCTTCATGACGCCATACAGGAAAGCCGTCAACACATCAAGCTGGTCATGGGCCATCCAAATGGCTTGGAAATTGCGACCACCATTCGCAGAGTCACATACTTGACCACGGGCGAAAATGTCTCCGTGTAGTCGATGTCGTACTTTTGGCGGAAACCCTTGGCCACAAGTCGTGCCTTGTACTTCTCGATAGATCCATCCACTTTACGCTTGATCTTGAAGACCCACTTCTTACCAATGGCGCGTGGTCCGTTAGGTAGCTTGGTTGCACGAACACACCGCGAAGTCGCATTGACTCGAGCTCCGCATGAATGTATTTAGGCTAGTGCACTTTGTCAGGGATTCTCACTGCTGCCTCAAATGTTGAAGACTCCAATAAACCCGCTGCTGTTTCTACGGCATTCGCACTCGCACGCCAAAACACAGGCGGAGTTGATTCAACAGAATCCTTCGTTTCTGCGTCTTCTTCTAAGCATGACGAGTTGCTGTCCGGCGTGCTTGACTCTACTAGTCCAGGCCGTTGACTCAATGCACGCAGTAGTTGAGCAGCTGCATCTTCATCATCGAGGCGGCTCTTGCGCTTGCCTGTTTGCTTGTACTCTACCTGACGCGGCTCTTCATCGTTGAGTAATTTGAAGTCCAGGTCATCGGCAACTTCATCAGTGATCGGTGGTGGAAGTGCAAAGGTGGATTCGTCGAAGTTGACATCACGACTGACGACCATCTTCCCCGCCTCAACGTCATAAACTTGATACGCCTTCGACACTTCTTCGTAGCCCACGAACATGTCATCGCCAGCCTTTGGATCCCACTTGAGTCGATTCTCTTTCGCGTCAGTATGTACGTCTGACACCCGAATGCTCGCATGTGCTCGACGCTTGGTTTCGAGTTGTAGACAATCTCAAACGGGGTCTTGTGTACATCTTTAGGTGACGGCAGTCGATTCTTGACGTAGATGACCGTCATCGCTGCTTCAGCCCACAAACACTTGTCCAGTTTGGCATGATGAAGCATGCTGCGGACGATCGTGACGATAGTTCTAATAGCACGCTCTGTTGTTTCGTTGGTTTGATGCGCATATGCGCCGTTGTCTGCTTTTCAATGCCTTCATCTTCGTAGAACAATCGAAGCGAGTTGGTTGCGAACTCGCGGGATCCGTCGTGTAGCACAAACTTGACCTTCTTACTCAACTGCGTCTTTACCATAGTGATGTACTTCCGGATGTAGTCTTCACTCTCGGACTTCACTCGTAAAAAGCCCTTCATACATCCACTGGCTTCGTCTACGATCAGTGCCAAATATCTGCTGCCACCGAGCGATTCGTTTTCCATGGGCACACAGATGTCTAGATGAAGCAGCTCGAACGTATCGTAGTTACGCTTGTCGCGGTTGATTGGGAATGGTTTTTAGACCATTTTACCTTGTTGGAACCCTCAACATGCATTTGCTCCACCCGACTTAAGAGGGACTCGCACATCCTTGATCATGTTGGTCGTGATCACCTTGCGTAGTACGTCGACTGAAGCGTGACCCATTCGCGAATGTAGGTCAGCACAACTGTTTCCACTTGTTGTCACATTTGTTTATTGCTGAGTCGTACGAAGCCAGTAAGATCCATCCACAAGATCCGCTGTCGCCACCACTTGCTGTGAGTTCTTGAGAGTCACATACATCTTGGACCCGTTAAACACGACTTGGAACTTGCCATGCGTGTTGATCTGTGGCACCGAAAGAAGGTTCTTGATAATACTTCGAGCATATAACGCTTTCTTGATCTTGATCTCGCGCTCTTCACAGTTGGACAGAACCACCTTTTCAATGATGGATCCCACACCCTCGATGGCCGCTTGATACCATCAGCCACCAGGATCTCGCCATCGTTTCCTTTGACCAAGCTTGTAAACTTGTTTTTGTTGTGGAAAATGTGGTGCGTTTCACGACGGCCCATTCCAGACATGTCCTTGCTCGTCAAAACTCCGCTTATTTTTAGACGAGCCTTCAGCCATCTTGATGCTGAAAAGTCGCCGATTGAGGAAGATGCGTTCTGCCTTCTGCGACCTACCGTACAGCGTCTTCAGACTTGTCCACGCAACACACGCTTCCTCGCATTTGTCAAGCACATGGTGGTAATCCGCATTCATGTGCAGCAGCATCATACCAAATGCGACGTCGCTCGCCTTGACGTAGTCATCCGGCGCTCGAGGGTCACTGAAAGTCGGAGTCGTGTCACGGTTCACGACGTACCAGACGGACTTCTTCAAAAACACACCGCGCATGTATCGACTCCAAGTCGCGTAGTTGTCTCCATTGAACTTATCCATGGAGGCGTTGGATGATGAGTGGGTGGTTTACGACATGGCGCTCGGACTCATACCTGTTGCATTGCAAAGAGCGGAACGAGGGGTGCGGAGAGGCTGAAGAGAGTAGAGCAGAAGACACTTGCTCACGAGTTGGAAGATTCGGAAGTGATTGATTATCGGGGCTTACTACTTACTACATGATTTACATTTGGTGTACATATAAATCATGTGAAGCGTCTCATCATCCGACGCGTTCAATCAAACATGGGTAATTACCGTAAGAACTACGTCGTAAAAGCTGAGCAGGCGGTTCGGATTGAACCGGTCAAGGTTACCAATACTGGTAGAAAACCGATGACCGTCAACACGTTCCCTCAATCCGAACGCGCTCAGATGCCTAGCGCCACTGTTAAGTCCTTGTGGCGCGGTCCGTGAATTCCCTTGGTCATAATGTCTGCCGACATCACCGTCGTCTCGCATTATTCAAGCTTCACTTCACCGCGCTTGACTTCATCGCGAATGTGATGGTATTTGATATCACTGTGTTTGGCGCGGCCGTGATTGACCGGATTCTTGGTCATTTTGATGCAGGACTGATTTTCTTCTCGGATGATGAGATCGGGTCCGTCCTCGTTAGCAGCTGCCATGATCTCGCATCGTAAGCGGTGGATCCACTTGCCTTCTTGAATCGCCAGACTTAGCGCAATGTACTCCACTTCACTTGTAGACAGTGACACACTTGGCTGCTTCTTGCTGACCCAACTCACTGGAGCACCCAATAGCATAAAAACGTAGCCAGACATTGACTTGCGATCAGTGAGGTGCGTCCAAAGAACCACGAAAGTCGATCCTTGCGCGTGGCTTGTAGCAAATTCCATGCATCTTAGTGCCTTATAGGTAGCGAAAGATGCGCTTGACCGCAACCCAGTGTTCTTCTTGGGGAATCTTCATGAAGCGCGACACAAAGCTCACAGCATAGGCAATGTCCGGTCGTTTTGCAGTCGTCAGATGCATCAAAGCACCAACAGCTTCACGGAATGGAACATCGATCTTGCTCGCAGTGCTGCTTGACATCAGTCGAGAACTGACATCCACAGGACTCGCCACAGCCTTGCACTCCTCCATTCCAAAGCGCTTGAGGATATCATCGACATAATGGCGCTGACACAGAGTCACACTGCCACCTTCACCGTCCAAAAGCTCGATCCCAAGAACAAATGCACATTTGCCGCTGTCTGTCATCTCAAAACGTGTCTTCAGGTCGTTCTTGTTTCGTGTAATTAGCTCGAGCGAGCTTCCAGTCACCAAGACGTCTTCCACGTCGACCAGTACAAGCACACAATGGCCGTCCGAAGTCTTGATGTAGAGACATGGGTCGAAGTACGACGCTTGGAAATCAATGGAGCAACACAAACTTGTCGAACGTCTCGTTCCACACTCGCGACGCTTGCTTGAGGCCGTAAATTGACTTCACTATTACCATGCAGTCGAACGTACTATCAAGGTTGACGCCTTCAGGAATCACAGAGAACACTTGTTCCTTCATGACGCCATACAGGAAAGCCGTCAACACATCAAGCTGGTCATGGGCCATCCAAATGGCTTGGAAATTGCGACCACCATTCGCAGAGTCACATACTTGACCACAGGCGAAAATGTCTCCGTGTAGTCGATGCCATACTTTTGGCGGAAACCCTTGGCCACAAGTCGTGCCTTGTACTTCTCTATAGATCCATCCACTTTACGCTTGATCTTGAAGACCCACTTCTTACCAATGGCGCGTGGTCCGTTAGGTAGCTTGGTTGCACGAACACACCGCGAAGTCGCATTGACTCGAGCTCCGCATGAATGTATTTAGGCTAGTGCACTTTGTCAGGGATTTCTCACTGCTGCCTCAAATGTTGAAGACTCCAATAAACCCGCTGCTGTTTCTACGGCATTCGCACTCGCACGCCAAAACACAGGCGGAGTTGATTCAACAGAATCCTTCGTTTCTGCGTCTTCTTCTAAGCATGACGAGTTGCTGTCCGGCGTGCTTGACTCTACTAGTCCAGGCCGTTGACTCAATGCACGCAGTCGTTGAGCAGCTGCATCTTCATCATCGAGGCGGCTCTTGCGCTTGCCTGTTTGCTTGTACTCTACCTGACGCGGCTCTTCATCATTGAGTAATTTGAAGTCCAGGTCATCGGCAACTTCATCAGTGATCGGTGGTGGAAGTGCAAAGGTGGATTCGTCGAAGTTGACATCACGACTGACGACCATCTTCCCCGCCTCAACGTCATAAACTTGATACGCCTTCGACACTTCTTCGTAGCCCACGAACATGTCACCGCCAGCCTTTGGATCCCACTTGAGTCGATTCTCTTTCGCGTCAGTATGTACGTCTGACAGCCGAATACTCGCATGTGCTCGAAACTTCGCTTGGAGTTGTACACGATCTCAAACGGGGTCTTATGCACATTTTTGGGTGACGGTAGGCGATTCTTGACGTAGATGACCGTCATTGCTAATTCAGCCCAGAAGCACTTGTCCAACTTGGCATGGTGAAGCATGCTGCGGCCGATCGTGACGATAGTTCTAATAGCACGCTCTGTTGTTCCGTTGGTTTGATGCGCATATGCGCCGTTGTCTGCTTTTCAATGCCTTCATCTTCGTAGAACAATCGAAGCGAGTTGGTTGCGAACTCGCGGGATCCGTCGTGTAGCACGAACTTGACCTTCTTAATCAACTGCGTCTTTACCATAGTGATGTACTTCCGGATGTAGTCTTCACTCTCGGACTTCACTCGTAGACAAAAGCCCTTCATACATCCACTGGCTTCGTCTACGATCAGTAGCAGATTTTTGCTGCCACCGAGCGATTCGTTTTTCATGGGCACACAGATGTCTAGATGAAGTAGCTCGAACGTATCGTAGTTACGCTTGTCGCGGTTGATTGGGAATGGTTTTTAGACCATTTTACCTTGTTGGAACCCTCAACATGCAGTTGCTCCACCCGACTTCAGAGGGACTCGCACATCCTTGATCATGTTGGTCGTGATCACCTTGCGTAGTACGTCGACTGAAGCGTGACCCATTCGCGAATGTAGGTCAGCACAACTGTTTCCACTTGTTGTCACATTTGCTGATCGCTGAGTCGTACGAAGCCAGTAAGATCCATCCACAAGATCCGCTGTCGCCACCACTTGCTGTGAGTTCTTGAGAGTCACATACATCTTGGACCCGTTAAACACGACTTGGAACTTGCCATGCGTGTTGATCTGTGGCACCGAAAGAAGGTTCTTGATAATACTTCGAGCATATAACGCTTTCTTGATCTTGATCTCGCGCTCTTCACAGTTGGACAGAACCACCTTTTCAATGATGGATCCCACACCCTCGATGGCCGCTTGATACCATCAGCCACCAGGATCTCGCCATCGTTTCCTTTGACCAAGCTTGTAAACTTGTTTTTGTTGTGGAAAATGTGGTGCGTTTCACGACGGCCCATTCCAGACATGTCCTTGCTCGTCAAAACTCCGCTTATTTTTAGACGAGCCTTCAGCCATCTTGATGCTGAAAAGTCGCCGATTGAGGAAGATGCGTTCTGCCTTCTGCGACCTACCGTACAGCGTCTTCAGACTTGTCCACGCAACACACGCTTCCTCGCATTTGTCAAGCACATGGTGGTAATCCGCATTCATGTGCAGCAGCATCATACCAAATGCGACGTCGCTCGCCTTGACGTAGTCATCCGGCGCTCGAGGGTCACTGAAAGTCGGAGTCGTGTCACGGTTCACGACGTACCAGACGGACTTCTTCAAAAACACACCGCGCATGTATCGACTCCAAGTCGCGTAGTTGTCTCCATTGAACTTATTCATGGAGGCGTTGGATGATGAGTGGGTGGTTTACGACATGGCGCTCGGACTCATAACCTGTTGCATTGCAAAGAGCGGAGCGAAGGGTGCGGAGAGGCTGAAGAGAGTAGAGCAGAAGACACTTGCTCACGAGTTGGAAGATTCGGAAGTGATTGATTATCGGGGCTTACTACTTACTACATGATTTACATTTGGTGTACATATAAATCATGTGAAGCGTCTCATCATCCGACGCGTTCAATCAAACATGGGTAATTACCGTAAGAACTACGTCGTAAAAGCTGAGCAGGCGGTTCGGATTGAACCGGTCAAGGTTACCAATACTGGTAGAAAACCGATGACCGTCAACACGTTCCCTCAATCCGAACGCGCTCAGATGCCTAGCGCCACTGTTAAGTCCTTGTGACGCGGTCCGTGAAGTGCCTTGGTCATAATGCCTGCTTACATCACCGTCGTCTCGCATTATTCAAGCTTCACTTCACCGCGCTTGACTTCATCGCGAATGTGATGGTATTTGATATCACTGTGTTTGGCGCGGCCGTGATTGACCGGATTCTTGGTCATTTTGATGCAGGACTGATTTTCTTCTCGGATGATGAGATCGGGTCCGTCCTCGTTAGCAGCTGCCATGATCTCGCATCGTAAGCGGTGGATCCACTTGCCTTCTTGAATCGCCAGACTTAGCGCAATGTACTCCACTTCACTTGTAGACAGTGACACACTTGGCTGCTTCTTGCTGACCCAACTCACTGGAGCACCCAATAGCATAAAAACGTAGCCAGACATTGACTTGCGATCAGTGAGGTGCGTCCAAAGAACCACGAAAGTCGATCCTTGCGCGTGGCTTGTAGCAAATTCCATGCATCTTAGTGCCTTATAGGTAGCGAAAGATGCGCTTGACCGCAACCCAGTGTTCTTCTTGGGGAATCTTCATGAAGCGCGACACAAAGCTCACAGCATAGGCAATGTCCGGTCGTTTTGCAGTCGTCAGATGCATCAAAGCACCAACAGCTTCACGGAATGGAACATCGATCTTGCTCGCAGTGCTGCTTGACATCAGTCGAGAACTGACATCCACAGGACTCGCCACAGCCTTGCACTCCTCCATTCCAAAGCGCTTGAGGATATCATCGACATAATGGCGCTGACACAGAGTCACACTGCCACCTTCACCGTCCAAAGCTCGATCCCAAGAACAAATGCACATTTGCCGCTGTCTGTCATCTCAAAACGTGTCTTCAGGTCGTTCTTGGTTCGTGTAATTAGCTCGAGCGAGCTTCCAGTCACCAAGACGTCTTCCACGTCGACCAGTACAAGCACACAATGGCCGTCCGAAGTCTTGATGTAGAGACATGGGTCGAAGTACGACGCTTGGAATCCAATGGAGCACACAAACTTGTCGAACGTCTCGTTCCACACTCGCGACGCTTGCTTGAGGCCGTAAATTGACTTCACTATTACCATGCAGTCGAACGTACTATCAAGGTTGACGCCTTCAGGAATCACAGAGAACACTTGTTCCTTCATGACGCCATACAGGAAAGCCGTCAACACATCAAGCTGGTCATGGGCCATCCAAATGGCTTGGAAATTGCGACCACCATTCGCAGAGTCACATACTTGACCACAGGCGAAAATGTCTCTGTGTAGTCGATGCCGTACTTTTGGCGGAAACCCTTGGCCACAAGTCGTGCCTTGTACTTCTCTATAGATCCATCCGCTTTACGCTTGATCTTGAAGACCCACTTCTTACCAATGGCGCGTGGTCCGTTAGGTAGCTTGGTTGCACGAACACACCGCGAAGTCGCATTGACTCGAGCTCCGCATGAATGTATTTAGGCTAGTGCACTTTGTCAGGGATTCTCACTGCTGCCTCAGATGTTGAAGACTCCAATAAACCCGCTGCTGTTTCTACGGCATTCGCACTCGCACGCCAAAACACAGGCGGAGTTGATTCAACAGAATCCTTCGTTTCTGCGTCTTCTTCTAAGCATGACGAGTTGCTGTCCGGCGTGCTTGACTCTACTAGTCCAGGCCGTTGACTCAATGCACGCAGTCGTTGAGCAGCTGCATCTTCATCATCGAGGCGGCTCTTGCGCTTGCCTGTTTGCTTGTACTCTACCTGACGCGGCTCTTCATCATTGAGTAATTTGAAGTCCAGGTCATCGGCAACTTCATCAGTGATCGGTGGTGGAAGTGCAAAGGTGGATTCGTCGAAGCTGACATCACGACTGACGACCATCTTCCCCGCCTCAACGTCATAAACTTGATACGCCTTCGACACTTCTTCGTAGCCCACGAACATGTCACCGCCAGCCTTTGGATCCCACTTGAGTCGATTCTCTTTCGCGTCAGTATGTACGTCTGACAGCCGAATACTCGCATGTGCTCGAAACTTCGCTTGGAGTTGTACACGATCTCAAACGGGGTCTTGTGCACATTTTTGGGTGACGGTAGGCGATTCTTGACGTAGATGACCGTCATTGCTAATTCAGCCCAGAAGCACTTGTCCAACTTGGCATGGTGAAGCATGCTGCGGACGATCGTGACGATAGTTCTAATAGCACGCTCTGTTGTTCCGTTGGTTTGATGCGCATATGCACCGTTGTCTGCTTTTCAATGCCTTCATCTTCGTAGAACAATCGAAGCGAGTTGGTTGCGAACTCGCGGGATCCGTCGTGTAGCACAAACTTGACCTTCTTACTCAACTGCGTCTTTACCATAGTGATGTACTTCCGGATGTAGTCTTCACTCTCGGACTTCACTCGTAAAAAGCCCTTCATACATCCACTGGCTTCGTCTACGATCAGTGCCAAATATCTGCTGCCACCGAGCGATTCGTTTTCCATGGGCACACAGATGTCTAGATGAAGCAGCTCGAACGTATCGTAGTTACGCTTGTCGCGGTTGATTGGAAATGGTTTATGGACCATTTTACCTTGTTGGAACCCTCAACATGCAGTTGCTCCACCCGACTTAAGAGGGACTCGCACATCCTTGATCATGTTGGTCGTGATCACCTTGCGTAGTACGTCGACTGGAGCGTGACCCATTCGCGAATGTAGGTCAGCACAACTGTTTCCACTTGTTGTCACATTTGTTTATTGCTGAGTCGTACGAAGCCAGTAAGATCCATCCACAAGATCCGCTGTCGCCATTACTTGCTGTGAGTTCTTGAGAGTCACATACATCTTGGACCCGTTAAACACGACTTGGAACTTGCCATGCGTGTTGATCTGTGGCACCGAAAGAAGGTTCTTGATAATACTTCGAGCATATAACGCTTTCTTGATCTTGATCTCGCGCTCTTCACAGTTGGACAGAACCACCTTTTCAATGATGGATCCCACACCCTCGATGGCCGCTTGATACCATCATCCACCAGGATCTCGCCATCGTTTCCTTTGACCAAGCTTGTAAACTTGTTTTTGTTGTGGAAAATGTGGTGCGTTTCACGACGGCCCATTCCAGACATGTCCTTGCTCGTCAAAACTCCGCTTATTTTTAGACGAGCCTTCAGCCATCTTGATGCTGAAAAGTCGCCGATTGAGGAAGATGCGTTCTGCCTTCTGCGACCTACCGTACAGCGTCTTCAGACTTGTCCACGCAACACACGCTTCCTCGCATTTGTCAAGCACATGGTGGTAATCCGCATTCATGTGCAGCAGCATCATACCAAATGCGAAATTGCTCGCCTTGACGTAGTCATCCGGCGCTCGAGGGTCACTGAAAGTCGGAGTCGTGTCACGGTTCACGACGTACCAGACGGACTTCTTCAAAAACAAACCGCGCATGTATCGACTCCAAGTCGCATAGTTGTCTCCATTGAACTTATCAATGGAGGCGTTGGATGATGAGTGGGTGGTTTACGACATGGCGCTCGGACTCATAACCTGTTGCATTGCAAAGAGCGGAGCGAAGGGTGCGGAGAGGCTGAAGAGAGTAGAGCAGAAGACACTTGCTCACGAGTTGGAAGATTCGGAAGTGATTGATTATCGGGGCTTACTACTTACTACATGATTTACATTTGGTGTACATACAAATCATGTGAAGCGTCTCATCATCCGACGCGTTTAATCAACTATGGGTAATTACCGTAAGAACTACGTCGTAAAAGCTGAGCAGGCGGTTCAGATTGAACCGGTCAAGGTTACCAATACTGGTAGAAAACCGATGACCGTCAACACGTTCCCTCAATCCGAACGCGCTCAGATGCCTAGCGCCACTGTTAAGTCCTTATGGCGCGGTCCGTGAATTCCCTTGGTCATAATGTCTGCCGACATCACCGTCGTCTCGCATTATTCAAGCTTCACTTCACCGCGCTTGACTTCATCGCGAATGTGATGGTATTTGATATCACTGTGTTTGGCGCGGCCGTGGTTGACCGGATTCTTGGTCATTTTGATGCAGGACTGGTTTTCTTCTCGGACCATGAGATCGGGTCCGTCCTCATTATCATCTGCCATGATCTCGCACAGTAAGCGGTGGATCCACTTGTCTTCTTGAATCGCCAGACTTAGCGCAATGTACTCCGCTTCACTTGTAGACAGTGACACACTTGGCTGCTTCTTGCTGACCCAACTCACTGGAGCACCCAATAGCATGAAGACGTAGCCAGACGTTGACTTGCGATCAGTAAGGTCGCCGGCCCAGTCTGCGTCCAAAGAACCACGAAAGTCGATCCTTGCGCGTGGCTTGTAGCAAATTCCATGCATCTTAGTGCCTTATAGGTAGCGAAAGATGCGCTTGACCGCAACCCAGTGTTCTTCTTGGGGAATCTTCATGAAGCGCGACACAAAGCTCACAGCATAGGCAATGTCCGGTCGTTTTGCAGTCGTCAGATGCATCAAAGCACCAACAGCTTCACGGAATGGAACATCGATCTTGCTCGCAGTGCTGCTTGACATCAGTCGAGAACTGACATCCACAGGACTCGCCACAGCCTTGCACTCCTCCATTCCAAAGCGCTTGAGGATATCATCGACATAATGGCGCTGACACAGAGTCACACTGCCACCTTCACCGTCCAAAAGCTCGATCCCAAGAACAAATGCACATTTGCCGCTGTCTGTCATCTCAAAACGTGTCTTCAGGTCGTTCTTGTTTCGTGTAATTAGCTCGAGCGAGCTTCCAGTCACCAAGACGTCTTCCACGTCGACCAGTACAAGCACACAATGGCCGTCCGAAGTCTTGATGTAGAGACATGGGTCGAAGTACGACGCTTGGAATCCAATAGAGCAACACAAACTTGTCGAACGTCTCGTTCCACACTCGCGACGCTTGCTTGAGGCCGTAAATTGACTTCACTATTACCAGGCAGTCGAACGTACTATCAAGGTTGACGCCTTCAGGAATCACAGAGAACACTTGTTCCTTCATGACGCCATACAGGAAAGCCGTCAACACATCAAGCTGGTCATGAGCCATCCAAATGGCTTGGAAATTGCGACCACCATTCGCAGCGTCACATACTTGACCACAGGCGAAAATGTCTCTGTGTAGTCGATGCCGTACTTTTGGCGGAAACCCTTGGCCACAAGTCGTGCCTTGTACTTCTCGATTGACCCATCCGCCTTGCGCTTGATCTTGAACACCCATTTTGTGCCAATGGCGCGTTGTCCGTTGGGCAGCTTGGCTGCACGAAACACACCGCGAAGTCGCATTGACTCGAGCTCTGCATGAATTGCTTTTCTCCAGTGCGCTTGGTCAGGGCCGCTTACTGCTGCTTCAAATGTTGAGGGCTCTGATAAGTTTAATGCTGCTTCAACGGCATTTGCACTCGCACGCCAAAACACAGGCGGTGTTGAATCACCAGAATCCTTCGTTTCTTCGTCTTCTTCTTGGCGTGACGAGTTGTTTTCCGGCGCGCTTGACTCTTCTAGTCCTGGTCGTTGACGCACTGCACGCGGTCGTGGAGCTGCTGTATCTTCATCATTGAGTCGGTTCTTGCGCTTGCCTGTTTGCTTGTACTCCATTTGACGCAGCTCTTCGTCATCAAGATCCAGCAATTCGAAGTCCAGGTCATCGGCACCTTCATCAGTGATCGGTGGTGGAAGTCCAAAGGTGGATTCGTCGAAGTTGACATCACGACTGACGACCATCTTCCCCGCCTCAACGTCATAAACTTGATACGCCTTCGACACTTCTTCGTAGCCCACGAACATGTCATCGCCAGCCTTTGGATCCCACTTGAGTCGATTCTCTTTCGCGTCAGTATGTACGTCTGACAGCCGAATACTCGCATGTGCTCGAAACTTCGCTTGGAGTTGTACACGATCTCAAACGGGGTCTTATGCACATTTTTGGGTGACGGTAGGCGATTCTTGACGTAGATGACCGTCATTGCTAATTCAGCCCAGAAGCACTTGTCCAACTTGGCATGGTGAAGCATGCTGCGGACGATCGTGACGATAGTTCTAATATCACGCTCTGTTGTTTCGTTGGTTTGATGCGCATATGCACCGTTGTCTGCTTTTCAATGCCTTCATCTTCGTAGAACAATCGAAGCGAGTTGGTTGCGAACTCGCGGGATCCGTCGTGTAGCACAAACTTGACCTTCTTACTCAACTGCGTCTTTACCATAGTGATGTACTTCCGGATGTAGTCTTCACTCTCGGACTTCACTCGTAAAAAGCCCTTCATACATCCACTGGCTTCGTCTACGATCAGTGCCAAATATCTGCTGCCACCGAGCGATTCGTTTTCCATGGGCACACAGATGTCTAGATGAAGCAGCTCGAACGTATCGTAGTTACGCTTGTCGCGGTTGATTGGGAATGGTTTTTAGACCATTTTACCTTGTTGGAACCCTCAACATGCATTTGCTCCACCCGACTTAAGAGGGACTCGCACATCCTTGATCATGTTGGTCGTGATCACCTTGCGTAGTACGTCGACTGAAGCGTGACCCATTCGCGAATGTAGGTCAGCACAACTGTTTCCACTTGTTGTCACATTTGTTTATTGCTGAGTCGTACGAAGCCAGTAAGATCCATCCACAAGATCCGCTGTCGCCATTACTTGCTGTGAGTTCTTGAGAGTCACATACATCTTGGACCCGTTAAACACGACTTGGAACTTGCCATGCGTGTTGATCTGTGGCACCGAAAGAAGGTTCTTGATAATACTTCGAGCATATAACGCTTTCTTGATCTTGATCTCGCGCTCTTCACAGTTGGACAGAACCACCTTTTCAATGATGGATCCCACACCCTCGATGGCCGCTTGATACCATCAGCCACCAGGATCTCGCCATCGTTTCCTTTGACCAAGCTTGTAAACTTGTTTTTGTTGTGGAAAATGTGGTGCGTTTCACGACGGCCCATTCCAGACATGTCCTTGCTCGTCAAAACTCCGCTTATTTTTAGACGAGCCTTCAGCCATCTTGATGCTGAAAAGTCGCCGATTGAGGAAGATGCGTTCTGCCTTCTGCGACCTACCGTACAGCGTCTTCAGACTTGTCCACGCAACACACGCTTCCTCGCATTTGTCAAGCACATGGTGGTAATCCGCATTCATGTGCAGCAGCATCATACCAAATGCGACGTCGCTCGCCTTGACGTAGTCATCCGGCGCTCGAGGGTCACTGAAAGTCGGAGTCGTGTCACGGTTCACGACGTACCAGACGGACTTCTTCAAAAACACACCGCGCATGTATCGACTCCAAGTCGCGTAGTTGTCTCCATTGAACTTATCAATGGAGGCGTTGGATGATGAGTGGGTGGTTTACGACATGGCGCTCGGACTCATACCTGTTGCATTGCAAAGAGCGGAACGAGGGGTGCGGAGAGGCTGAAGAGAGTAGAGCAGAAGACACTTGCTCACGAGTTGGAAGATTCGGAAGTGATTGATTATCGGGGCTTACTACTTACTACATGATTTACATTTGGTGTACATATAAATCATGTGAAGCGTCTCATCATCCGACGCGTTCAATCAAACATGGGTAATTACCGTAAGAACTACGTCGTAAAAGCTGAGCAGGCGGTTCGGATTGAACCGGTCAAGGTTACCAATACTGGTAGAAAACCGATGACCGTCAACACGTTCCCTCAATCCGAACGCGCTCAGATGCCTAGCGCCACCGTTAAGTCCTTGTGGCGCGGTCCGTGAATTCCCTTGGTCATAATGTCTGCCGACATCACCGTCGTCTCGCATTATTCAAGCTTCACTTCACCGCGCTTGACTTCATCGCGAAAATTGATGGTATTTGATATCACTGTGTTTGGCGCGGCCGTGATTGACCGGATTCTTGGTCATTTTGATGCAGGACTGATTTTCTTCTCGGATGATGAGATCGGGTCCGTCCTCGTTAGCAGCTGCCATGATCTCGCATCGTAAGCGGTGGATCCACTTGCCTTCTTGAATCGCCAGACTTAGCGCAATGTACTCCGCTTCACTTGTAGACAGTGACACACTTGGCTGCTTCTTGCTGACCCAACTCACTGGAGCACCCAATAGCATAAAAACGTAGCCAGACATTGACTTGCGATCAGTGAGGTGCGTCCAAAGAACCACGAAAGTCGATCCTTGCGCGTGGCTTGGAGCAAATTCCATGCATCTTAGTGCCTTATAGGTAGCGAAAGATGCGCTTGAGCGCAACCCAGTGTTCTTCTTGGGGATTCTCCATGAAGCGCGACACAAAGCTCACAGCATAGGCAATGTCCGGTCGTTTTGCAGTCGTCAGATGCATCAAAGCACCAACAGCTTCACGGAATGGAACATCGATCTTGCTCGCAGTGCTGCTTGACATCACCCGAGAACTGACATCCACAGGACTCGCCACAGCCTTGCACTCCTCCATTCCAAAGCGCTTGAGGATATCATCGACATAATGGCGCTGACACAGAGTCACACTGCCACCTTCACCGTCCAAAGCTCGATCCCAAGAACAAATGCACATTTGCCGCTGTCTGTCATCTCAAAACGTGTCTTCAGGTCGTTCTTGGTTCGTGTAATTAGCTCGAGCGAGCTTCCAGTCACCAAGACGTCTTCCACGTCGACCAGTACAAGCACACAATGGCCGTCCGAAGTCTTGATGTAGAGACATGGGTCGAAGCCTGACGCTTGAAATCCAATGGAACACACACTTGCCAAAAGTCTTGTTCCATACTCGCAAAGCTTGCTTCAGGCCGTAAATTGACTTCACTATTACCATGCAGTCGAACGTACTATCAAGGTTGACGCCTTCAGGAATCACAGAGAACACTTGTTCCTTCATGACGCCATACAGGAAAGCCGTCAACACATCAAGCTGGTCATGGGCCATCCAAATGGCTTGGAAATTGCGACCACCATTCGCAGAGTCACATACTTGACCACAGGCGAAAATGTCTCCGTGTAGTCGATGCCGTACTTCTGCTTGAAGCCCTTGGCCACAAGTCGTGCCTTGTACTTCTCTATTGAAGCGTCCACTTTTCGCTTGATCTTGAATACCCACTTCTTACCAATGGCGCGTGGTCCGTTAGGTAGCTTGGTTGCACGAACACACCGCGAAGTCGCATTGACTCGAGCTCCGCATGAATGTATTTAGGCTAGTGCACTTTGTCAGGGATTTCTCACTGCTGCCTCAAATGTTGAAGACTCCAATAAACCCGCTGCTGTTTCTACGGCATTCGCACTCGCACGCCAAAACACAGGCGGAGTTGATTCAACAGAATCCTTCGTTTCTGCGTCTTCTTCTAAGCATGACGAGTTGCTGTCCGGCGTGCTTGACTCTACTAGTCCAGGCCGTTGACTCAATGCACGCAGTCGTTGAGCAGCTGCATCTTCATCATCGAGGCGGCTCTTGCGCTTGCCTGTTTGCTTGTACTCTACCTGACGCGGCTCTTCATCATTGAGTAATTTGAAGTCCAGGTCATCGGCAACTTCATCAGTGATCGGTGGTGGAAGTCCAAAGGTGGATTCGTCGAAGTTGACATCACGACTGACGACCATCTTCCCCGCCTCGACGTCATAAACTTGATACGCCTTCGACACTTCTTCGTAGCCCACGAGCATGCCAGCGCCAGCCTTTGGATCCCACTTGAGTCGATTCTCTTTAGGCGTCAGTATGTACGTCTGACACCCGAATGCTCGCATGTGCTCGACGCTTGGTTTCGAGTTGTAGACAATCTCAAACGGGGTCTTGTGTACATCTTTAGGTGACGGCAGTCGATTCTTGACGTAGATGACCGTCATCGCTGCTTCAGCCCACGAACACTTGTCCAGTTTGGCATGATGAAGCATGCTGACGATCGTGACGATAGTTCTAATAGCACGCTCTGTTGTTCCGTTGGTTTGATGCGCATATGCACCGTTGTCTGCTTTTCAATGCCTTCATCTTCGTAGAACAATCGAAGCGAGTTGGTTGCGAACTCGCGGGATCCGTCGTGTAGCACAAACTTGACCTTCTTACTCAACTGCGTCTTTACCATAGTGATGTACTTCCGGATGTAGTCTTCACTCTCGGACTTCACTCGTAAAAAGCCCTTCATACATCCACTGGCTTCGTCTACGATCAGTGCCAAATATCTGCTGCCACCGAGCGATTCGTTTTCCATGGGCACACAGATGTCTAGATGAAGCAGCTCGAACGTATCGTAGTTACGCTTGTCGCGGTTGATTGGAAATGGTTTATGGACCATTTTACCTTGTTGGAACCCTCAACATGCAGTTGCTCCACCCGACTTAAGAGGGACTCGCACATCCTTGATCATGTTGGTCGTGATCACCTTGCGTAGTACGTCGACTGGAGCGTGACCCATTCGCGAATGTAGGTCAGCACAACTGGTTCCACTTGTTGTCACATTCGCTGATCGTTGAGTCGTCCGAAGCCAGTAAGATCCATCCACAAGATCCGCTGTCGCCATTACTTGCTGTGAGTTCTTGAGAGTCACATACATCTTGGACCCGTTAAACACGACTTGGAACTTGCCACGCGTGTTGATCTGTGGCACCGAAAGAAGGTTCTTGCTAATACTTCGAGCATATAACGCTTTCTTGATCTTGATCTCGCGCTCTTCACAGTTGGACAGAACCACCTTTTCAATGATGGATCCCACACCCTCGATGGCCGCTTGATACCATCAGCCACCAGGATCTCGCCATCGTTTCCTTTGACCAAGCTTGTAAACTTGTTTTTGTCGTGGCAAATGTGGTGCGTTTCACGACGGCCCATTCCAGACATATCCTTGCTCGTCAAAACTCCACTTATTTTTAGACGAGCCTTCATCCATCTTGATGCTGAAAAGTCGCCGATTAAGGAAGATGCGTTCTGCCTTCTGCGACCTACCGTACAGCGTCTTCAGACTTGTCCATGCAACACACGCTTCCTCGCATTTGTCAAGCACATGGTGGTAATCCGCATTCATGTGCAGCAGCATCATACCAAATGCGACGTCGCTCGCCTTGACGTAGTCATCGGGCGCTCGAGGGTCGTGCTGTATCGTAGATCGGAGCGAGGAAAGCGAAGCGAACGGAGCGGAGAGACCGAAGAGAGTAGAGCAGAAAACACTTGCCCAATAGTTGGAAGATTCGAAAGTGATTGATTATCGGGGCTTACTACTTACTACATGATTTATATGTGGTGTACATGTAAATCACGTGAAGCGTCTCATCATCCTACGCGTCTAATCAACTATGGTAATTACCGTAAGAACTACGTCGTAAATACTAAGCTGAACAGGCGGTTCGGATTGGATCGGTCACGGTTACCAATACTGGTAGGAAACCGATGACCGTCAACACGCCCCCTCAATCCGAATGCTCACGAATCCCGAGAGCCGTCGTCATCTCCTTGTGGCGTGGTCCATGAAGTCCCTTCGTCATGATGTCCGCTAACATCACCGCAGTTTCACAGTACTTGAGCTTCACTTCACCGCGCTTGACCTTATCACGGATGTGATGGTACTTGATATCAATGTGCTTGGCACGGCCGTGGTTGACCGGGTTCTTCGTCATCTTGATACATGACTGATTGTCTTCATGAATCATGAGTTCCGGTCCTTCTTCATTGGCAACTCACTGGCGCACCGAGTAGCATGAACGTGTACCCCGATGTTGACTTGCGGTCGGTAAGATCACCAGCCCAATCCGCATCCGAACATCCACGGAAGTCGATCCTTGCACTTGGCTTGGAGCAAATTATGCGTCTTGGTGTCTTGTAGGTAGCGAAAGATACGCTTAACTGCAACCCAGTATTCTTCTTGGGGATTTTCCATGAACCGCGACACATAGCCCACAGAAAACGCAATGTACGGACGCGTTGCAGTGGTCAGGTGCATCAACGCACCAACAGCTTCGCGAAAAGGAGCATCGACCTTGGTAGTTGCATCACTTGAAACAAGTCGAGAGCTCATGTCGACTGGACTTGCGACTGCCTTGCAATCATCCATGCCAAAGCGCTTGAGGATATTATCGACATACCGACGCTGACATAGTGTCACACTGCCATCTTCACCGTCCAAAAGCTCGATCCCAAGAACAAACGCACACTTGCCGCTGTCCGTCATCTCGAACCGCGTCTTCAGGTCGTTCTTGGTTTGTGCAATCAGCTCGAGCGAGCTTCCAGTCACCAAGACGTCGTCCACGTAGACCAGTATAAACACGCAATGGCCGTCCGAAGTCTTGATGTAGAGACATGGGTCGAAGTCCGATACTTGAAATCCGATGGAGCACACATACTCGTCGAACGTCTCGTTCCACACTCGCGACGCTTGCTAGAGGCCGTAAATTGACTTCACCAATTCCAGGCAGTCGAACGTACTGTCAAGTTCGACGCCTTCAGGAATCACGCAGAACACTTGTTCCTTCATGACGCCATACAGGAAAGCTGTCACCACATCAAGCTGGTCGATAGGCCATCCAAAATGCTTGGAAATTGCGATCACCATTCGCAGCGTCGCATACTTCACCACAGGCGAAAACGTCTCCGTGTAGTCGATGCCATACTTTTGGCGGAAACCCTTGGCCAAAAGTCGTGCCTTGTACTTCTCTATAGATCCATCCGCCTTGCGCTTGATCTTGAACACCCATTTTGTGCCAATGGCGCGTTGTCCGTTGGGCAGCTTGGCTGCACGAAACACACCGCGAAGTCGCATTGACTCGAGCTCTGCATGAATTGCTTTTCTCCAGTGCACTTGGTCAGGGCCGCTTACTGCTGCTTCAAATGTTGAGGGCTCTGATAAGTTTACTGCTGCTTCAACGGCATTTGCACTCGCACGCCAAAACACAGGCGGTGTTGAATCACCAGAATCCTTCGTTTCTTCGTCTTCTTCTTGGCGTGACGAGTTGTTTTCCGGCGCGCTTGACTCTTCTAGTCCTGGTCGTTGACGCACTGCACGCGGTCGTGGAGCTGCTGTATCTTCATCATTGAGTCGGTTCTTGCGCTTGCCTGTTTGCTTGTACTCCATTTGACGCAGCTCTTCGTCATCAAGATCCAGCAATTCGAAGTCCAGGTCATCGACATCTTCATCAGTGATCGGCAGTTGAAGTCCAAAGGTGGACTCGTCGAAGTTGACATCGCGGCTGATAACCACCTGCCCCGCCTCGATGTCATAAACACGATATGCCTTCGAAACTTCTTTGTAGCCCACGAATATGCCAGCGCGAGCCTTTGGATCCCACTTGAGTCGATTCTCTTTAGGCGTCAGTATGTATGTCTGACACCCGAATGTTCGCATGTGCTTGACGCTTGGTTTCAAGTTGTAGACGATCTCAAACGGGGTCTTGTGCACGACTTTAGGTGACGGCAGTCGATTCTTGACGTAGATGGCCGTCATCGCTGCTTCGGCCCAGAAACACTTGTCCAGTTTGGCATGATGAAGCATGCTGCGGCCGATCGTGACAATAGTCCTAATGGCACGCTCTGCTGTTCCATTTGTTTGATGCGCATATGCACCGTTGTCTGCTTTTCAATGCCTTCGTCTTCGTAGAACAGTTGAAGCGAGTTGGTTGCAAACTCGCGAGCTCCGTCGTGTCGCACGAACTTGACCTTCTTACTCAACTGCGTCTTTACCATAGTGATATATTTCCGGATGTAGTCTTCACTCTCGGACTTCACTCGTAGACAAAAGCCCTTCATGCATCCACTGGCTTCGTCGATGATCAGCAGCAAATATTTGCTGCCACCGAGCGAATCCTTTTCCATGGGCCCGCAGATGTCCAGATGAAGTAGCTCAAACGTATCGTAGCTGCGCTTGTCTCGGTTGCTTGGAAATGGTTTTTGGACCATTTTCCCTTGTTGACATCCTCGACATGTAGTTGCTCCACCCGACTTGAGAGGGACTCGCACATCCTTGATCATTTTGGTCGCGATCATCTTGCGAAGAACATCGACTGGAGCATGGCCCATTCTCGCATGTAGATCGGCACAACCGGTTCCACTTGTTGTCACATTCGCTGATCGTTGAGTCGTCCGAAGCCAGTAAGATCCATCCACAAGATCCGCTGTCGCCATTACTTGCTGTGAGTTCTTGAGAGTCACATACATCTTGGACCCGTTAAACACGACTTGGAACTTGCCACGCGTGTTGATCTGTGGCACCGAAAGAAGGTTCTTGCTAATACTTCGAGCATATAACGCTTTCTTGATCTTGATCTCGCGCTCTTCACAGTTGGACAGAACCACCTTTTCAATGATGGATCCCACACCCTCGATGGCCGCTTGATACCATCATCCACCAGGATCTCGCCATCGTTTCCTTTGACCAAGCTTGTAAACTTATTTTTGTCGTGGCAAATGTGGTGCGTTTCACGACGGCCCATTCCAGACATGTCCTTGCTCGTCAAAACTCCACTTATTTTTAGACGAGCCTTCATCCATCTTGATGCTGAAAAGTCGCCGATTAAGGAAGATGCGTTCTGCCTTCTGCGACCTACCGTACAGCGTCTTCAGACTTGTCCATGCAACACACGCTTCCTCGCATTTGTCAAGCACATGGTGGTAATCCGCATTCATGTGCAGCAGCATCATACCAAATGCGACGTCGCTCGCCTTGACGTAGTCATCGGGCGCTCGAGGGTCGTGTTGTATCGTAGATCGGAGCGAGGAAAGCGAAGCGAACGGAGCGGAGAGACCGAAGAGAGTAGAGCAGAAAACACTTGCCCAATAGTTGGAAGATTCGAAAGTGATTGATTATCGGGGCTTACTACTTGCTACATGATTTATATGTGGTGTACATGTAAATCACGTGAAGCGTCTCATCATCCTACGCGTCTAATCAACTATGGTAATTACCGTAAGAACTACGTCGTAAATACTAAGCTGAACAGGCGGTTCGGATTGGATCGGTCACGGTTACCAATACTGGTAGGAAACCGATGACCGATAACAATGAGTTCCGGTCCTTCTTCATTGGCAGCCATCACGATCTCACAAAGCAGATGATGAATCCACTTGCCCTCTTGAATCGCCAAGCTGAGTGCGATGTATTCAGCTTCAGTCGTGGACAACGAAACACTTGGCTGCTTCTTGCTGCCCCAACTCACTGGCGCACCGAGTAGCATGAACGTGTACCCCGATGTTGACTTGCGGTCGGTAAGATCACCAGCCCAATCCGCATCCGAACATCCACGGAAGTCGATCCTTGCACTTGGCTTGGAGCAAATTATGCGTCTTGGTGTCTTGTAGGTAGCGAAAGATACGCTTAACTGCAACCCAGTATTCTTCTTGGGGATTTTCCATGAACCGCGACACATAGCCCACAGAAAACGCAATGTACGGACGCGTTGCAGTGGTCAGGTGCATCAACGCACCAACAGCTTCGCGAAAAGGAGCATCGACCTTGGTAGTTGCATCACTTGAAACAAGTCGAGAGCTCATGTCGACTGGACTTGCGACTGCCTTGCAATCATCCATGCCAAAGCGCTTGAGGATATTATCGACATACCGACGCTGATATAGTGTCACACTGCCATCTTCACCGTCCAAAAGCTCGATACCAAGAACAAACGCACACTTGCCGCTGTCCTTCATCTCGAACCGCGTCTTCAGGTCGTTCTTGGTTTGTGCAATCAGCTCGAGCGAGCTTCCAGTCACCAAGACGTCGTCCACGTAGACCAGTATAAACACGCAATGGCCGTCCGAAGTCTTGATGTAGAGACATGGGTCGAAAGTCCGATACTTGAAATCCGATGGAGCACACATACTCGTCGAACGTCTCGTTCCACACTCGCGACGCTTGCTTGAGGCCGTAAATTGACTTCACCAATTCCAGGCAGTCGAACGTACTGTAAAGTTCGACGCCTTCAGGAATCACGCAGAACACTTGTTCCTTCATGACGCCATACAGGAAAGCCGTCAACACATCAAGCTGGTCATGGGCCATCCAAATGGCTTGGAAATTGCGATCACCATTCGCAGCGTCACATACTTCACCACAGGCGAAAACGTCTCCGTGTAGTCGATGCCATACTTTTGGCGGAAACCCTTGGCCACAAGTCGTGCCTTGTACTTCTCGATTGACCCATCCGCCTTGCGCTTGATCTTGAACACCCATTTTGTGCCAATGGCGCGTTGTCCGTTGGGCAGCTTGGCTGCACGAAACACACCGCGAAGTCGCATTGACTCGAGCTCTGCATGAATTGCTTTTCTCCAGTGCACTTGGTCAGGGCTTCTCACTGCTGCCTAAAATGTTTACGACTCCAATAAACCCGCTGCTGCTTCAACGGCATTTGCACTCGCACGCCAAAACACAGGCGGTGTTGAATCACCAGAATCCTTCGTTTCTTCGTCTTCTTCTTGGCGTGACGAGTTGTTTTCCGGCGCGCTTGACTCTTCTAGTCCTGGTCGTTGACGCACTGCACGCGGTCGTGGAGCTGCTGTATCTTCATCATTGAGTCGGTTCTTGCGCTTGCCTGTTTGCTGATACTCCATTTGACGCAGCTCTTCGTCATCAAGATCCAGCAATTCGAAGTCCAGGTCATCGACATCTTCATCAGTGATCGGCAGTTGAAGTCCAAAGGTGGACTCGTCGAAGTTGACATCCCGACTGACAACAACCTGCCCCGCCTCGATGTCAAATACACGATATGCCTTGGACACTTCTTCGTAGCCCATGAAATGCCAACACGAGCCTTGGGATCCCACTTGAGTCGCTTCTCTTTAGGCGTCAGTATGTATGTCTGACACCCGAATGTTCGCATGTGCTTGACACTTGTTTTGGAGTTGTACACGATCTCAAACGGGGTCTTGTGCACAATTTTTGGTGACGGTAGGCGATTCTTGACGTAGATGGCCGTCATCGCTGCTTCGGCCCAGAAACACTTGTCCAGTTTGGCATGATGAAGCATGCTGCGGCCGATCGTGACGATAGTTCTAATAGCACGCTCTGTTGTTCCGTTGGTTTGATGCGCATATGCACCGTTGTCTGCTTTTCAATGCCTTCGTCTTCGTAGAACAGTTGAAGCGAGTTGGTTGCAAACTCGCGAGCTCCGTCGTGTCGCACGAACTTGACCTTCTTACAGAATTGCGTCTGTACCATGGTGATATATTTCCGGATGTAG